GAGGTCTCATCGCATCACCATGCAAAGGAGCCTAATTTCCTTTCCTTAAAAGTGTTCACTTTCCTGTCCCTGGTCCTCCTAGAGATGTCACAGTAATATTTTATCCAAAGTTGCTCGATCTAGGCTTTGCTGATAGATATATTTTGCTTATCAAAGTGACAATATCATTATTTTCCAAGAAATGACCTTGAGGATTATTAATTAAAGAAGTAAATACATCTTCATTGCCTGCTTCAGCTTATGAAGTGTCTGTTGGCCTGCAGTTGTCTCTCTGAAATCTTCCTCATCTTCTTCATAATTCAGAAACTGTTTCTCAATCAGATTTAGTGAAAAAAAATCTGATCCCGAACTAATTTTCTCTGGATATCCTTTGACTCCACCTGCAAGCCAGTGGTAGTGATCCAAGGAGGGCCTTCCCCAAGGTACTCTCAGGAAGGCTTCATCTTCATGAAAATTAGAGCAACAGAAGCACCCTCCTGGGCTTTTTGATTCAGTGCAATGGTTCTAGTTTCTTACCAAAACCCATCCAACTGTCTATATCCAAGGGCAGCTTGCAGTGACAAGTGGGGCAGTTGAAAGAAAAAGTTTTCCCCATTATGTAAGCGGAAGGCAGAACGTGATGTACATGAGATACAAGGCTGCCCATAACACGTAAAAATGCCTTCAGGTTTGTAAAATAAAGCCACCATAGGAATGTTTCACCAACAGAGAAGCCAGTCAGGATATTTGGAACAATGGAAAAAATTTCTTCTGCCCTGACATTAGTACTCCAAATACCAATCAGGCAATACAGATCTTGTTACTTATCATTAAGACCAGGGCTGGGATGATTAACAAGATGGTAAGAATTGTCACTGGCCCTTCACCTCAGGAGGCCTCATTCCCCTTCAGCCTGTACAAGGTCAGCCTAAACAGTAAGATTCTGTGTGCCCTCACAGCTGATTCCACACCCACAAATTCTAGGCACTCATATTAAATAAAAGTTTCCATTCAGACAAGCCTTGGACACGAGGTTTCTGTAGGCTTTGACCAAAGGCAAATGAGAAGCCTTATTCTAATTTCCATTCTCAAATTGATGGCTCTTTTCCAGGATCAAAGTATTTTCCCACACAGAGCCCATGCCTGTCATCCAAATTCAATCAGCACTTTACCTACGTAAGGATTGCACAACAACTTTGCTGGCAATATTAATAATCAAATGGTCAAGTTACTGACTTATAATGTCCTCACAGACCAGTCATCACAATATTGTCATTGCCATTGTGTTCCTTTTCTGTGTGGCAATTAACTGGCTTTTGTAAAATTATTTCATCAAATCTTAAACAATTTACAGAGGAAAACCAGAATTAACACCCTGCCACAGAGGGAAATAAATCAGTGCAGAGGAAAATCAAGTACCTCACACAAGTGATGCTACTGCAGTCGAAATTACAGCTCAGTTATCTGAAATCCTGATCTGTGCCCTAGTCACTGATAAGCTCTGCCTGGAGAAAAAAACATGAGCTGGCTGCATGTGCAGGATTCACCAACAGGTGCTCTCCTCACACTGGAACCACATCCCATCCAAGTCTCCACACAGCACTGCAGGACCTGCTCCTACACTGTGGCTGTTGTTCAGCATGGAGGGCAAATGTCTTCACCTTTCTTCCAGCACTGCTTGCAGGAAGTAAACCTGAAGTTGAATGCAGAGTAAACACCCACAAGTACAAACCATCTTTAAAACAAGACAAATATTTACCTGTAACACACTGCAGATCACCTTATTTTAAACCTAAAGCTTGACAATAATTTTAATTGTACCTAGTTCATGGCTACTATCAACAGTTTAAATGTTTTCTTGAGATCACCTTATTTTAAACCTAAAGCTTGACAATAATTTTAATTGTACCTAGTTCATGGCTACTATCAGCAATTTAAATGGTTTCTGCCCTGTGAGGGAATCACAACATTTGTCAATGCACACTTTAGTATCAACTGCATATTCCTCATAGTATGTCATGTTTTCCTTGTGATAACAGAGCTTATGTTTAACTACAGATGTCATTCCACACAGGACCATAAACTGTTTTATGCAAAACAGCATTTCTTTTGACTTTTTCTGATCTCACTAGCTACAAAACATGAGCTTGTAGCTCAAGTTGTGTCAGATAGGTTAAATATGCTCATTAAGTGTGTTTAAGTGCTGTCACAAGAATACACAGAGTTATTAATAAAGCTGTAGCATTCAGTTTGAAAAGGTTTTTGAGCTAAATGACATTTCTGTTCTATTTTTTCCCAGTGCCTTAACACTATGGAGCTGGGACCTCCATGACCATCACGCATAGTAAGTAGTAGTAATGGACAGACTATCACTAACTAAAGGATAATCATGGTGTAGACTGAAAATATAATCAATTTCTTGAACAAATGCCTTGATTGCTATTACAGGATGAGATTTGCATGACTAATTGCCACGTGTGCAAAGCAGCCACGTGCCTTCCTCACTGACAGACATCACCAGTGTGAGGAAGTTTGCTTTATCTGCCTCTGCTCAAAGGTAAACCCCAGACAGAACAGCATGGCCACCACCCACAGATGTTACTTGCATTATAGTAGAATTCAGTAACTCAGACTTGAGTGAAGAGGATATTGGCAGTGGGATTCCATTACTTGGGGGAAAGAGTCCCTGCCTCCACGAGTAACTGAGCAGCAGCATCACTGTTCCACCAAGTCAGCCACAGTCATACCTGTAAACTCGACTGCATCACCCAGGAGCCCTCAGTACCAGGAATGATGGGCACTCTTGTCACATGCAGGAGCTGAATTCATTGCACTGGTAGTCTCAACATCAGATTCTATTGCAAAACTACCTATTTTTACACTTTTTACAGGTTTCTTGTGGTACTTCAATCACATACTTGGTTTAAAGACAAAACTGATTGCTCTCCTTCTCCCCAGTGATCTTCACTGCTGTCTCCGTTTTCAGGCTGTCACAGTGTTTACAGGGCATGGTCTGGTTTGTATTTAGAAAACCACAGATCTTGAAGGCCACCACAATACCTTCCACAAGGGCAGAATCTTCTGATGCTTAAATGAATCATCTTGATATTAAAAAGGTACTACTTTTTTTCCCCCACGTTTTAGTGCCAAAAAAACAGGCAATATTTAATTGTGTTCCTCAGAACATTTCACCTGCCTAGATTGGCTCTTGATAACCCACTTCACTATTGCATAATCAATTTATAAGTCTGTTATACTACAGTCCTGATAGAGATAATGGCCAATGATTGCTTATAAATCCTTTGCTGCACTGTTTCCTCTAAAGCCTCTGGTTTGTACTATGCTCTTAATAAAATCATAGTACAGTAATGGTACGATGAAATAAAGATCACCTGTGCATTTGTTTCTAGTAGCCTAAATTAGTTTAACTGCAGAATAATTTATTTGAAAACTACTGGCACCAAGACAAATCCAAGTCACATGCAGGTTTAATAAAAAGAATTTTGATTCAGTAATCTCTTGTCAGCCCCAAGGCACTTGCCCAAGTGCTACTCAGGTAGAGTTTGCTGGAAGTTTTTCCAGAGCTGTGCAAGCCATTGGAAGAGACAGAAGGATGGACACCACACAGTGAGCACCTGCTCCCCACAGTCCACAGGGAACAGCAAACATCCAATTTCCCAGCTGCAGCAGACACTCCCTGCTTTCCTTTGCACGCAGCAATGATGACCCCTAATGGTGGAATGTTTCTTCTCCTGCTGAGCAATATCAAGAGATTTTGCTGTTTAATGCATATTTCTACTTAAAATAATTAAAACTTCCCCTCACAGCCCAGCAGCAAAGTAAACTGCTTGAGATTCACCTGAACCGTAACATAGAAGCAGCTGCTTTGCCTGATCAATTCTGACTTTGCACATGGAAACATTAAAATGCAAATCCATATTCCAGATCTAAGTCCAGAATTTAAAGTAACCCTTTTTTCCTGAGGGAGACTATTTTACAGAAGCAAGTTTCAGTTACAGTGCTGTGAAAAATCCCTGCAGGAAGTCTTCAGAATAGAGCATGTTCCTTTTTCCCCCAGAACCAATCATCTGTATGTGAGCAAACAGACAGCTTCTTTCAAGCCTTCTTCAGCTGCTGGATAATGCTGCACATATGTGTCTGGTAGCACACTTCATACCCAGCAATCTCTTCATCAGAATCAAATAAAAGTTATTTTATTATTTCCAAAGTTATAAAATTGAATTCTATTCTACTATAAAGTCAACATTTTATGTGCATATAGTGTTAAGTTCTTATACAATTTTTACATTCTGGAATTATTCAAATTTGGCTGGGTTTCTTTTAAATCCAAGTACATCTCAAAGCCTTTAATTCCTACTGGAAATAGAAGATAATTTTAAATGGTGTTACAGATGCCAGCTACATAAAACTAAGTCTTACTTTTCTCTTGGGAGAGATGAGTATCACTACCTGTCCCATTTTAGCTTGCTTGACACTTGCATAGGGAGCAAGATAAAGAACAAGGTAACTATTACCCAGGCCTGACCTAATTGTGTCAGTTTTTTCCAGGTAGAGATAAACACATAGCGCTTAAAAGAGAAGGGCTGAGAGCCCCTGGCAGCTTACTGACTTGTTTACTTTCTTTTAAAAACATTGTAATGCTGAAGTTGTTAGCTTTCAGTCTACAAAGCCTTCACCTAAACAAAATACAAACCTAGAGATATTTCTAGAATGCTTAAGAAAAAGCACATTTTCAAACCATGGTCTCTTTTTTGTATGGTAATAGTAGTTAAAGTCACACAAATACCTACTAGGAAAAAAATATATGAAGACACGCTTCAGATTGTGTGTGGACTGCACTGACAGTTTTGTTTGGACAGTGAGGTATGTAAAATGAGGGCTTTTTAAAGTTAAAGTCTAATCACTGAACTTTTCAATACCTTTATGACAGCTTTGTCTGGTTTTTTTTCTCCTTCTTGAAGAGCAATAATTACTGCAAATACTTCATCATCCTGGCTTACCTTTCTCACATCTGAGCTCTTTGGTTCTGTAGTCCAAGTTATAATTCTAGATACAGCAAGTCTTGTCTCACTGGAGTTCACAAAGTCTGTTGGATCCATCTGTCTTGCCAAGGACTCAATATACTTCAGGATAGCAACTTTCACCTGAGAAATGAGAAGGGATTTGTGAAGCTCAGGATTTGGCAAAGATGCATTTTTTTCCATAGAACAGATCCCACTACAGATTGACAAGACTTACAAGACGTGGTGGGGAGGAAGTATCCCTGGGACATGTCTCCAAGGTGCCAATTTCTATACCATGCACATAATACAATAATTACCTTCTCATCAGTTCTATGCTTTATGGTATGCCTGACATGACAAGCTAAGACAAACATGTTGATGCTTTAGTGAAATGGATTTTGACACTGACCTTCAGGTTTGGTGTCTGGGTCTGATCTACAATAAACCTCATCAAAATGTTAAATTGCTGATCAAATGGAAAAGAATCCCTGTCCAAAGGAAACAAAAGCAAAAATGTAATGAAACATAAACTAAATTAACTCAATACCTCAAAGCTTACATAACAGATTTCAACACACTTTTCTTCTTGGTAACTTTACCATCAACAAGAGAAACTCTAAACTTAAGGATTAGCTAGTTATTGACACAATGCTGGAGAAAACTGCTCAATCAGTATCTTTACACACTGCCACTCCACTATCTGTACACTTCTTTTGGCATGCCTGTCCATTTCATTTCAGACTCTGCTTTGTTCCCTTATCTCTAGAAACAGCTTGGTTTATCTTGTTCTTAGGGCTCATACCCAGTTTTGATCACTCTCCTCTTTCTTCCCCACTATTTTCTCCTAGATTATTACTACTTTTTATCTTTTTAAATTATCCTATTTCTAGAATGAGTCGAACTTTATTGTAATGGTGTCCTGTGCTGGACGTCCTTTGAAAAAGACATGAGTACAGAATTGGTGTCAGTATTGCAGTAGCATTCAAGGTGTTACCGTGACCTGTCATTTGTGTTTGAATAACATGAAAGAGGCACTGAACTTTGTGATAAAGCACCTTTCATATTCTGAATACTGCCATTTGAGTACCTGTCAATCAAAAAAACCTGATATCTGAGCACACACCCCACAAAACCCTAAAATTAATCAGTTATATATTTTTTAATTTATGCTTTAAAGTAATTTATTTAGAAGAGAAACAGGCCTTTTTAATTCAATACTTGATATACTGTTACATAACTTTCTTCTCTTTTATTCTTATGTTCATCAAGATGGAGCCCTCAAAATACACAGCACTGCTGGATTTCTAAAATCACACCTTCCTGTAATCCCAAAAAACTTCCACAACATTTGTACTCTACCTGGTGACATCCAGAGCTTTTTGAACTTTTGCCTGCACAGACCCCAACAAATCTGCTCCCATTTTCTTTAGCAACTGGGTCAGGAGAACAAAAAGCCAATCCTGCAAATCATCTTTATGAATGATGATGAAATCAACCAGGGTTTCCAAAAACATGCTGAAAACCTATAAACAAAACAAGTGTCAGAAAAAGAAATACAGTTCTTAAAATAAAAACATTCAAAGGGGAAGGGGGTTTACAGTCTGAGTTTCAGGATGATTTTGTTATAAAAGTTTCATGAATGAATGATTTTAGTGACTACATTGCTCTGGAAAAAGAATCAGGCAAGACATGTCTAAAATGTGTTGTATTAAAATACCACATGTAACAAATGAAGGAAAGGGGTAAGAAACACTTACTCTCTGTTGTGAATTCCACGGCAAAGCAGGCCATGCAACAAAACAAACCACTCGTTAGCACATGGAGTGATCAAGGATGCAGTTTCTCAACAAATAAAAGACATTCATTGAACGTTTACATTCTCTTAAAACACAATCTCTTCTCAGCAGTTACTTTAAACATTTGGATCAGATTGAGTCTCCTCAGCCAAGAAAGTAACATGTTTATATACAGTTATATGAACAAAGCTATGTGTGTTTAACACCACAACTAATGAGTTTATATCAGTAATTCTATAAAAGCAATGAAGATGACAAATCACTGCTGCCACAAAGGATATACTTGAGCCCAGTGTGCAATAAACTCCCACCTTACTCAGAAATTGGAAATATTTTGTGAACAAATCATTACACCTTGACCCTTTCTACTACACATACCTTGGGGAACCAAAGCATTAAGAACTTAGAGGTAGGTACTACAAGCATAGTGAGACAGCTGGTCCACAGTATAATTAAGGCCAAAAAGGCACATTTTGAGCAAGACCCATGACAGGCTACTCTGCCTGCCCATGCAATTCCCACCCAACAATCATTTATTAAAACTGGTTTACCAAGAGGTCTTGAAGTACAAAGATTTGTACAACTTATTCTTTCTCAAACTGCATTTAACCCAACTGCTGATGCTTTCACACAGCCATTACTGGTTTTCCTTAACTAGCAAAACTCAGAAAAGGGCATGACATTCCCTATTCCTTTCTCCCTGCCCCCCCTTAGCTGTCCATAGAAATCCACTAGCTCTGAACATGCCTGTGGGTCTTACCTCCCCATTCTGTGGCCCAATTCTTCTAAATAATTGTCTGTAAATTCATGCCACAGCCTTTAAATTCAAAGGTCAGTGTTTTAAGCAAGGCAAAGTAGCTATATTAAAGACATGATTATGAGATTCAGAATAGCATCTTGATGAAACATCTGCTCCCAGGTGTACACAACACACAAACCCCAGTGGCTGTGATGCTCATGACCCCTCATGGACCACTCTTCCCTGTGTATCACCAAAAATACACCCTAGAGAAGTGCAAATCAAACTGAACTTCTGGCTCCAGGAGGTGACCTCTGAAAGGCATGAAGCTGCTCCACAGGAAGCATGGAGTAACCAGTTCCTAGCAATGGAAGAGAGACTGAGACACATCCCCTCCTTATGAAACAAATGAAAACCAAGGAGATTTTTAAATCCCAGTTTTCCCCAGCAGATGGCAGGGGTAGAAATACAAACCACTCATCTTGGAACGGTGTCAAACGTGCACACAGTAATGTAGGAGAGCGAGCCAAGGCTTTGTGATCTTACCTTGCTGTGAGGGTCAGCAAACATGCGAGTAAATATTTCACACAGCCTTTTTAACTCGACTCGGCTAAAACACATAAATAAAACACAACATTAATGCCAAAGTTGTAGTTGCAGAAAAAAACCCCAGCTAATACATATTAACAGCTGAAAAATCTAACCTTCTTTATTGAAATGTTACTTCAGTCACACTTCTGAAAACTTTGTGTGTCTAGGTAAAGTCTTTACTCCAGTTTAACTGCTCAGATCATCAGTTCTACATTAAGAATCTAATAAACATTTTCTTGAAAAAATCTTAAACCAGACAACTGTATTTTCTGGTCTTTTATTTTCTTCTGTATTCTGGATTCCAGAAGACAACTTGAAATGTGCACATTTCAAGTGGGGCACTTAGTTTCTGTCTGGGTCAAGGTCACTGAATCATACATTTTTTCCACCTTAAGAATAGGTTTTTCAAGTCTCTTTTGTGTCAAGGATTTCAAATTGAAGTAAAATCAGAACTTTCTGGTTATATACTAATCAAAACTTTTGGTTTAAATTCCCAGTTGTTTCAGTAGTATCGGTCTAGAATCACAGGTTATTATCAGTTCAGAACTGACTCCAAAGTCTGACAGCAAGCAGGCATACTGAGGAGCCAAACATACAGAAATGAAAGAGACATTAACAAATGGCAACCTATTAAATCAGAAGATAATTACATCAAGGAACAATCCAAATTCCTATTAAGAGATTATTAGGTGCTCAGTAGTGCTCTTTTTATGGCAGGGGGAAAAAAGAATGGTGCATGAGATACTGAGTTGGAGTCAAATGCAGAACTCTTTGGTGCCAAGCTCTTATCTGCAATGTATTGAGAAGTCTTAGCTTTCCCGCAAGGTAAACTGGCAAAAAATACTGAAGCTCTTCTTGTTCATGGTGCAAACAAAAACAGAGCAAGGCAGTTAAGTTACATTTCCTGCTTACTACAGATGCAAATAGACATTTTTCACAATTGCAATGAAACCAGAGCAACTAGTGAAATGAACACTGACTGCTCAGAGAAGATTTATTGAAGATTTGGCTATAGGGAATGGGTTTCCAGACCAACATTAATTCTACAATCCACCAAATTCTCTCGTTCTAAAAATAATCTTCAAACAGGCCAGAATAAGGCAGCCGTCTACAGATATTTTATGTTAGATTGTTTCTATGTAACACAGGACTTTTTTTTTTTTTTTTTTCCCCAAAAAAATCCATGCATGAAAGGCTGATTAAATTTTAAAAGGGCACAAAACCAATGGGTTTAAGAGTCTGGTATGGAGGGAAAAGTCTTTGTAACAACATCACAGTAAGCTGTCAGCTCAGTTCAGGGTGAGGCTGCACAGGCTCAAAATGACTACAACACTCCTGACATCATGCAGATTGCAGCTCTCTGAATGAACCCCTATTTATTACTCCCAAGAATTTTTTTCTGGACAAAGGTTATAGAAAGTCAGCAAGTATACGTGTATCTGTTTCTAAAAGCTCACAGACCCAAGGTAACAATGCAAGTATTAAACTGCAACAGGCAATGGAAGAACATTTCCTTAAGGGACTCATTTACTTTGTTTTATTTAGAAGACCTTATGGGGAGCCCTTAAAAAAGTAGGCCATGTGAAGCTGTATGAAACAAAGAGGATGGGTAAGTGCCATTCCACTTTGCATGCACATCTCTGGATGTGCAAATCCCAGCTAACACAGGATCATCCATCTTTCAGTTCAGAACACTAAAGAAAACTCAGCCACATCACTGCCTCTTATTAACATGTTACACCACAACAGAAGGTATCAGGTTTAATTAGAAGACAGATTTGCCCCTTGGACTAATGACCTTGATGATGTTCTCAAGATGCCGTGGGAACAAGGAGAATGATAAAATCTAATCATTAGAACAGGCACCAGATCAACTCTGAACCAAGGAGGAAGGAGATCAAAAGAAAACCAAAATGAAATACAGAGAACTAAACACAGTATCAGATTAAAAAAATAACTGCGCAGAGGTGTAGTTTCTGGGACAGATTTAAAAAGTATTCAGGATCAAAGCTAAGACAATTTGCTAGCTTGAGAGACTGGTGACAGCACAGCTCAAACACTACAACCAGCAGGGTTGAAATCAAGAGTTTAATTTCACCAGTATTTCTGCTAAGATCTACTGACCTGGATAAATAGCCCACCACCAAAACGTCTCAGCACTTTCTCCCTTGCAACTATCCCCAGCAGCACGCCAAACCTTGCTTACAATCCTCACACTTTTGTGGCAAAATCAAAATCTAACCCAACTTCTTCATACAAGTAACGAGGTGCCATAGTTTTTCCAGTTTGTTAAAGAGAAAGAAAAAAGAGAGCATACATAGTGGAAGTATCTTTTAAGAGACTCAGAAATAGACCACATCAAAAAGCATCTCTGATCTAGAGACTCTAACTACCTATTTTAAAAACCTGTAGCACTTCCCATTTAAGACCTGTATCACATCAAGTGAAGTGCTAGAATATTTTTATGATGGCGAGAAACCAACTTTTTCATGCTTGCTCTCAGGACACTTTCATTCAGACTGTTAACATGAACCACCAAATTATTTTCAGCCCGTGTGAAGCCCTTTTAAAATGGAAACAATTGCACAAACCCAAGTAGGGAAGCTCTAAACAACCACTTATAAACTTGTATATAATTTAAGTACACACGATTAATAACAAAAAAATAAAAATGTCACTGCTATTTGTGACTGTTACCTTCAAAGGAGCCAAGAGATAAACAGCTTGTTTCAAACACTTTCTCCATAAACTAAGGGTGAAATGTCTATGGCCTGAGAGCCAGTTGTCCAGTTAACGTGACCTGTGGCCATAGGGAGTTTCCACATGACTACTGGATAATTCTGAGACCTACTGGATAATTCTAAAATCTCTTAAGGTGGGATGTGTCAAAGGTGTTTGAAGGGGTTTTGTGGTTCCCAGCAAATGAAAAAGGTCTTCCTCTCCTACCATATGCAGTTTCAGAGTTGGTACACAACCTTCATTGCCCTGAGAAACCTCCCTCTACATTACACACTTCACTGTTTATAGGACACGAATTTCTGATATAAAATTTTTCAAGAGTTACAAACAGGATCTATAATTACACCTAACACAGCCTTCATGAAGAGTCAAAGTACAGCCAATGCCAGTACTGTCTGATCTCAGCTTTGAAACACACCCCATTTTAGAGCCATTTTAGAGTAAGTGCAATGTTTGCTTCACCAACTAAATTGCCATGGGAAAAAATATTGAAGGTTCAAACAGACTAAAATAAAAATGGCACCACCCCTTAAGTATGTTTACAACAGCACCACTGTGGGAAATCTCACTGTGCTGCAGCAAACACCTACCACTGGAGGTCTTCATGAGACAGATGAAGGCTAAGAGAAGACAGCATGCTTACCTGAGCCCTTTCTACATTACTGCCACAAATTACACGTATGACATAGCAGAAACCTTTCCAAAAGTTAACTACAATCCCAGATTGTAGAGCAAAGCCTTCACAGCCATGGGAAGACACTATCTCTCTCGCCATAAGGCAAGTACATAATACTGTCTTCTGTCTGAGACCATCCCTAATGAATTACTGACACCAAAAAAATGAAGTCACCTCAGTGTCCGCTGGCTTTTCAGTAAATTCTGAAGACCTATGAGTCCTTCTTTCCTTTCAGACCAGTTGGAGCTGGCACAGTGGTTCAGGACCTCAGCCACATCCTCAGTCTGCCGCAGGTAGTGTGGGATGCCGCCATTCCTGGAGCCGTAGGAGCGCTCCGAGCACGCGCTGGACGCGTCGCTGTTGGCATCGTCGTCAGAGTACATCCCATAGGGCTCGTATCTTCTTCTCACTGGCTTTTTCTGGAAAAGGGGAAACTCACACTTACCAAGTTACATCGATGCCAAAACAAAAACATTCTATTTGCAATCACTGAAAGGAAGATTAGTGCTACTGTTATAGTGACTGAAGTGTTTTAAAGATGTCACCATGCATTGCCTGCTTACCTCCCACAGCAGAGCAAGACAGACCCCACTGACTTCAATCAGACTGAGTGACTCAGGGGAAGAGGGCCTGCCTTCCCAGCATGAAAACAATGTATTTATGCCCAGTAAAATTAAGTTACTGGTAATGAAATTAAATACAATAAATGTTCTATTAACAATTATGGTCAGTTCCATTGTTACAGATACTATGATGATACAACTTCTACTTTAAAAAAAATAAAGATAAGGAAGAAATAGCTGAAAGAATCTGTGCTGGCATGCCCAGTCACTTTGATATCAATACTGAAGTGACTCTAGAAATGCACTGGATATAGGAGATGGCAATTTCTCTGTTAGTTTGGGCTAGGATTCTTTCCAGAAGCTGCTAAGGGAGTTGAGTACTCAAATCCCACCCATTTCCATAGCATGGCATTAAAGACCTAATTCCCTTAGGTACATCTTTTACAGCCTTGATCCTTACAGAAAGAATAGTAGCATAATTACGGCAGCAAAAAAACCCTCCTAAGTAAACCTTAAAAGAACAGGGTTAACAAGATAATGTATCAAAAAAGGATCATCTATATTCTAAAGCGTGTGCTACAGAATTCCTTCCAGCGTCCAGTCCTGCAGGTCCTGGACTTGTGAAGCCAGCAGAGTTTTGCTTCCACTAGGACTGGAGGATTGAAGCATAGAAATTAACTCACGTGCAGTATCATGGGCGTTAGCAACAGGGTGGGGAGAGTTGGAAAGTAGAAATAAAAAGTCAAGAAAGCACTAGTACCTTGCTCCTGGAGTCTCCTAACAGCTGTAGGCAGGAAAATATTGAAGGGTGGGAAAAAGCATAGAGAATTATGTCAGAAGCTTATGTAGGGTTTGTTTTTGCAACAAAAACGTATAGCAAATGTGTCTTAGCAAATTAAAAAAAATACAGTTTTTGCAAAATAAAAGTGGGTATAATAATGCCTGACTTTATCTCCTAACTGTTGCACTACTCATACTGGCTATAATTTCCCTTAGGGAGCTGGTAAGTGAGAATATCTGGTAAAAACATTTTTAGGAACAGATCTACGTTCAGTACCTCTGTACTTACTTTTCAGAAACCTGCAATGAAAGATACCAGAGATTTTGGTAGTGATTTCTCTTTCTCCACATATGACTGGCAGCATTTCATTTTACAGTCTTACAAAGAAATTCTGATGTGAGGAAGCCACTATCTACAGTACAGCACATTTAATCAACTTCACTTGCCAAGTTCTCTTTCAACCCACAGTTCTTACACCACACTGTTTTGAAGATTAGCTTCCTTTAAGACCCCCTGGTTGGCACCACTGGCTTAAAGGCCTTACTTAACAGCAAAGTTTCCATCACCCTTTGAGCTCTTCTGACAGAGCCAAGCACTGATTCCCAGTATAGACACTGTGGGTTTAGGCCAATACCAGCTCAAACAGAAGCAGTGGATCAAACTGGAATTGTACAGAGGGAGTAGAGGTCACAGAATGACCCACCATGTATTGTTTCAATTGAGGATTTGGCTTAAGCTATCTTTGAACTTCTTTTCATTTCTTACTACATGGAAAAGACAACTCTGAAAACACAGCTACTGGGTAAAAGCTGGCACCACAACACTCTCAAAAGGAGCCTGCACAGGCTTTGTAAATTGCCTGCTGTCAGAAGAGAAAACTGGGGTGGTGGGAAAAAAAGGATCAACAAGATTGTATTGCATCTCCTGAAGCCATTCAAATTCAGATTCATCAACCAAGTTAGCAGCACCAGCTAGTTTCCAGCTAGACTTAAGTATTTCTCTTTTAAGTGTTCAGCCCTTCAAAATTTTAACATTTCAGTTTACTTAACTTCAAAGCTGGAATATTTAAAAGAACACTCTGTAAAACTAGCTGAAGATTAAGTCACGCCCAAAGAAATCTCAGGGCTCAGCAGTCAACTGAAACACTGTGACACTCTCCTCCCTTAAGAAATCTGTATTCAGCAGCTGCTTACATGCAGGGATAAAGCCTGATTTCGTTTATACAGGAAAACCATTGCCTGTAATTATGTCTTGAACTGCCCTGGTAGCAAATTTGAGGTGCTGAGAGCAGAAACTGGCTCACAAGCTGTTACATTTGGTAACGAAAATGCTCACTAGTAATTCAGTTCACTAAATGCAACAGTGCCATCCATTATACATTGCTCTACCTTTCTTTTTTCACAAATTTTGAAAGGTAAATTTTGTAAAAAGGGACGGTTTTCTAAAGTACTCTAATAGTTGTCATAAGCTGGGTGATAATCAGACATAAAAAGGAAAATGTTAGCCGTTCTTGGGGAAAGTGAACTAGGAAATGGAGAACGGCCATGTACCACAAAAACTGGCAACATGGTTCATCTTCCTTCAAGTGCAGCTGAGACAGGTTCTGAGAGATCTGTCTCAAGATACATCAGGAAATCCTTCCCTCATTCAGGTCTAGAGCTGGAGAAGACCCATGGGTACCCAGCTGGTACTGTACAACAACTTCTCCTGCCTCTAGACATCCCCCTTCCCCCAAATATTCGAGCTACATACAAAGGCTTAGCATGTGCCTTCTGGAAAGCAGAAGACACTTTCTGGGTTCTATCTAAGAGATACCATAGTACAATAGGATTATACATTTTTTTAAATGACATAAAATTTCCTAGGAAAAGCAGTCAATGTTTGAAAGTTTTAGCAGCAAACGTGGCAAATATAATTCAACTTACAACATAACTGCATGAGATGGTACACATTCCATGCAAGCCAAGTTATGAACTCTCTTAGTATCTACCCACGTGCAAATAGCACAGGACAGAAACTTGTTCTTGCTGAAACCTGATTAGGAATTGACATTAACAGAGAACACTGTTTTTCTGACAAAATTTTCATGCAGGTAATAGGACTGATGGAAATCTCCAACCCCACGAGTGCTGAGCACGGTCACACTGCTGGGCACATGCTCTGACAGCCAAGTGAAAGGCAAACAGCTGATTCAACCCATCCTGCAGCTGTAGCACCAAGGCACAGCATTCTGTCTGACAACAGCTGAAAGAACTGACATGGAATAAGGAAAAACATACTGCTGCCAGTATACTCAAAGTCAAACCAGCAAAAGGTTAACTCTACAGCATCAGACACTGGCACGATCAGAATAAAGCTATTTAGAAAGAGGAGAACATACGTACAGGTAACTTTAAGGCACTTTCCGGTGTTGGAAGCATTTTGTATTTTTCCTCTTACCAGTGCATCGGCCACAGCAGCCTCCAGATCTGTGCTGGTGCTCAGGACTCGCATGGCATTCACAGAAGCAGGCATCCTGCCTGGCTGTCCGAGTCCAAACCGGTCTGCACAAAAGACAACAGTGAAAGGGATTGTTAAATGAATTCACATTCATTTGGAATCTTAATCAGGTGCCCGAGTAGTTCTCCCCACGGACTCTGGGAACTCACAGTGCTTTTCCATTAAACACCCTTTTACCCAGAGCTCCAGAGAGTCTGCCATTAGGGTAAGAAATAAACTATTGTTTGTTGGGCGTTGGAGGCAATTTTGGATCCTCAGGGTAACTTTTTATTTATTTAAGCTGGAAAGCAGGGTATCTATTTTCTGCTTCTTTTTACTTAGTTGTCTCAAAAGTTTTATTTTAATGTCAGAGGCAGACATGCCCATCCCAATCTGGCACTCTCAGAAATCAAGAGAGCTTCTCATTAACTTCAGAGAGACAGACTCATGCCCAGTGTCAGAACATGTAAATACTCAAGCACTCATCTATCCTGCAACTTTTCTCTCAGGCAAGGATGTGAGACTAGCAGCATCAGATTAGTCTATTTTATGTCTCAAGTCTTAATTAACCAGTAGACTATATCCCTACACCTTCACAGTATAAAAATTAAGTTAATAACTCACTTGTGAAGTGACTCCAATTTCTGGTTCTCTTGAGAAGAAGTTTAAATTCCAGAGCTCTATATCAAAACTGGTTTTGAGCAGACAATATAATCTTTTTACCTTTGAATTTGATGGCAAAACTTTCAATGGCATCGAGTCTAAAATGCCATTTACACTTCTAACATTAATTTATTTTATCATTTTTATTTTATCATCTATCAAGTTTATTTTATCATTTTCCTAGTCTACCAAAAAAGTTACTGAAATTAGTTTCTTTAGCAAAGGCAAATTCAGAAAGGTCCACTAGCAGAGCTATGACAGAATCAGTAACCCAGGCCAGGTTCTGGCAGTTTTTCCAGAGGGGGCAGATCAGCTACCAGATACTGGAATCCTGGCTCTGGTCCATTAGGAGAAAGATTGGTTATAACATTCCAAGTTTTTCTTTTCGTGTGGGCTTGTGTTTGCTCATGGAGGACTTAGAATATCCCTCCTGGAACATATGTTACACCTCTGTCCTTGTACTCACACATGCCAACAGGAGTTTTGCCAGCAAATTCAATGGTGCACGGATCAAGCTGCACGAACCCATTTAAGAGACCTTCAGCTGATCCACATCAAGCAGCAGGAGAGAGGGGTCAAGTCACACAGGTCTTCTAATAGTTCATCTATATTTAATTTAACAGTGGAAAAATACTGCTAATCAAATTGCTGAACCATATTGTGGATTTGCTCAAAACTGAGGCCAAACATGGTGCTCAGCAGCTTAGCGTGTTTTTGGGGAAAATACTGCGTGCCACAAAATTTCATTGCTTTCTTATTTATGAATCTACTGCACTGAAATATCTTTTAGGGATTAGCTCATGCTAGCGTGCATAATTTAAATCAGAGATTGAAGCTGGCCAGTTTGACTGTCCTAATTATGAAGCTTTATTCAAGATTAAGCTACTGCGGGGAAATAGGGAAGATTTTTAAAATCCAAAGTATTTCGAAAAAAGCTCCTGCAGACTAATATTTATTTCAAATAGAAGTGATATCTATCAAAATTTACTGTTTCTTAGAGTTACGTTCCCAGACAAGACATTTCTGATTTACAACAAAAGCACATTTTTTACAAAACACATTACAAAGGAAATAAAATAAATAAAAAAAAAAAACTTCTTAGAACTACTGCCAAAAAGTAATCAAATAATGACATTTCACAAAGAAATAAAAGTTGTATGTGTTATTACTATCCCCTTTTTTAATGCACTTGGGTTGAAAAATCACTTCAAATATGAAGATAGAATAGTCCTTTATTCCTAAAATGGAAAAATCTGTGCACTCTTAACAGAAGCACAGAGATGATAATGCAGTAGGTCTGACTGAAACTGAAGTCACCCCTACAGAGATATATATACTATAAAGTTGTACAGAGGACAAGGACTTTCCTAAGTGTAAATGAGATCTGGTACAGTACAAGGGCTGTAAACGTTGAGGTAAGTTCTGGACTTGGTTTTATATTTAAATCCAACCCAGTTACATTACTCAAGTGTTACTGACATCAGAATTTGGCTTTAATTTTTGAAAATATACAGTATGAAAAATACCATCATTTGTTTTCGAATAAATTTAGTATTACATTAGAAAAGGGAAGATAGCTGTTTTGGGGTTTTTTTTAAATGAAGAACAAAATGACAAAGTAATTCAATTGTAGATCAGTTTAAATACCCAGCATAAAGAAAGAAAATGGAGCTTTTTTAACACATTAAGTACAGCGTGGCATGCTGGCTTCTATCTCCATGTCTATCAGGAATCTTCTAAACTACTTTGTTCAGTGATTTTTAAATTTGCAACACTTAAGTTACTCTGAACTTCTCCCCAAGACACAGTTGCCATATTTGAGTTCCAGAATAAGACCATAGGAGAGACTTCAACATATCTCTGATGTGGGGTTGGGAACACATCTGGCTCCAGGAATAACAGTATAGTCAAGCTCAGTGTTATTGGACAAGAAATCTGCAGATTATACTCTGGCCACATTCCCTTGTCTCCCTGGCTAGATTCATTCCCTACACTTCTTACAAACTTGGTGAAAATTTGCAACCACCATTATTAAACCGATTTTGCCATTTTTCAGAATATTTTGGCCTTCTGGAGTACACAAGTAACCATACAAAATTTGATTAAGTTTTGTACCAAACCACAGGAGCCAAACAAGAAGTGGCTATCACAGGAAGCCAAAAGCAAACAAAACTTAAATCTGTATTACAGCTGATCTATTTTTAATTATTTTGGTTAAATACAAATTCAAATTGTTATCTGAAAAATGCCAGACAAATCAGCTTGCATTGCTTCTGTCAATTAATATGATAAGGGAAGTTTAGTTAAGTGATAGCCATTTAATTAGACCCATGAGAAACAGTATTTTTCACTCCCTATTTGAAGTGTGTTAATTAAATAACTTTCAGTACAACAAATTCCTTATACAATTTTAGCCTCCAAGAAAACACTGAAGCCCTCATCTTTTACATTATCTTTGTCCCCACAAAGTCTGTATTGTCCCAAAGCTAACAGCCCTCATTCCATTATTTTTAAGATTCCCAGTAAAATATCCTTATTTCAAAAGGAACGATGGGCTCTCCATAACTGCAAATCCAGTATAGGGGTGGGACAGAAGTAACTAGAATCTGCAGATTTTTCTCATTACATGTAACCATCAGTCACATTATGCAAAACCCAGTGAAATGCAGGGATATCTTTTTTTCTTTCAAAGACTTCCATGTACTTTGGACAAGGCCTTCAGAATTACATGAAGGATGGATCAGCATGTGTTGTGCTCCAAAGCTCATTCTGAAAGCTCATCAGGTCCTTAATTTTTGCTGCTCTGGTGCATTTTGGAGGGCATCCCACAAAGAACTTTCATTAACAGAGACAGGAGTCCAGAATATTTAGTAATAAATGGGATGAAACACATTGGGATCCTATCCTAGGCACTGGAAAGTGATACACTGCTAAAGAGGAAAAATAATTTGCAAGTACTCTGCATCAGTCAGGATTAAGCTCATGCTGCACAACTGATCCAATTTACTGGAGAATTGTGAAAGCCCTGGATCACCCTTTGTTTAAACACTGTTCACAATGTTCCTAAAATACACAAAATTAAAAACATCCAATAAATGAAACTCAAAACAAAAAGCCACGTTGAACAAAATCAGAACAGAAAGCCCCGCAGTGGTGAGAAGCACATGCCAAGTGCTGGCTGATGCACACGATGGCAAATGTTAAGATGGTGTAAAACAAGACTACGAATAAGAAGCGGATTCATGCAGTTAGCGCTTGTTCACCTGACTGCCCAACAGAATCAGCAGTGGAGAGAGCACTAGTGGACCTGGAATGACGTCGAGAAGCTGCAAGTAGAAGGAATGGCAACACCCACAGGATTAACACACATTGAACCCGAGACAGAAAATGCCACAATCCGAAGGGGATGCGTGTGACCGCTACCGGCAGAGGTGTTCCATAGTGACAGGGAATGGCGCTGTATGCGGATGCGTAACAGGTACAGTGCAAGCCCCACAGCGACGCCTCCGCCTGTGGCTTCCCCCCTTCCCCTCGTGACCATTAACACGATGCATGACACAACTCATCTGGAACACTCCCAAACCGGGTGCAGCCCAGCAAAAACACCCCGATGCACATCAGTCACGTTCCAGACCTGCAGGTCTGGCAGGCGGCCGTCACCAGAACGTGGAGCACATAACTACAGAGAAGGGTTTAGATGTGTCTGATCTAAACCCCAAAGTGAAGCCATGAGGAATGGTTATGAATTGTGCTTGCAGGTATTTTTCCACAACATTCTAGCCTATGCATAATAAAACCAACGTTAACAAAGAGAATGTGCAACCACATAAGTAGAAAGAGTCATACAGGGAGGACACCAACCACTGCAGATAGAGGTCCTCGGGTTGGTTTCTTTTCCAAGTAAACACACATACACACATATTCAGGTGTTGTTACTTCCAAAGGTCTCTTGCTTTTAACAAATTTTGCATACATGTTTCTTGAACCTCAGTATGTACATGCAGAACTAACAAGAATATGCACATCACACACTCATCTAGAATGACACATGTATACAAATTGTTAAAAGCAATGGAGCACACACAGTAGCAGAGGAGCCTAAGCCAAATATAGCTCCCACTTCAATTCCCAGTTGTTAGCAGCATATCAATCACAAAATGCCTTTGGAGAGGTTTTCAGTTCTTGGATTCAGCAGACAAGCAAGTTCTTTATGAAAGCAAATTTAAAATGGGCCCGGTCATTTCCAAATTACAGAAATTTTGTCTTTCTAAAGAAGTTTTCCCTATGTCTAGCAATGACATGCTCACCAGCTCAAAGCAACTGACCCAAGAAACTGACTGTTCATTTAAGCAATTCATCACCACAGACTCACTGAAGGCCTTGTTGCTTTAACATCATAACTAGTACTGTCAAGAAACTGAAAAAATAAAGCAGAATCACCTTGTAATACAAATAGGCTTTGTCAATTATGAACATAAGTGTGTAACAGAAAAATTCTAAGTCTTCTGTTTAAGGTAAAGCATTCATAAACACAAAAAACTAATATAATTAAATAGGAATCAGCAACAAGAGGAAAATAAAATTGTGGGTTTTTTCAACTTTGAGAGCTTCACTAAAAGCTATATGCAATTTGGCTTTTGGCCACGAAGAACACATGCATTTATTCACGAGAACTATCCCACTGACATTGTAAGGAACCTCATGAAAGATCTGCATGATCAGTGCAGGATTATGGACTGAACCTCACAATTAAGGTTCATAGGTCACAATCGCTTTCTCCCAAGCCATCCACTGTGCCCCTGTGGACACCACTGCAAGATGAAGACCCAGGGAGAAACAAGAATAACCAAAAAAATTCTAAAACCCACATTTCTGCAAGGAGGCTGAGTATAGATTCACTCTTGACTGTTTTTACTAACTTAGGAAGCAGGACTCATGATACACAGACATGCATACCTGCACTGCAGCCCCAAAACAAGCTGCAAAATTATAGCATGTCAGTGCTGACACTGACCATGATATCATTAAATGCAAGAATATTGTCATTTACGTTTAGTTACTCTGAGTATAATTCACAAATATATAACTTAATCTTTATAAGCAAAACCAGACCATGCACAGCAGGATTGTATTACCTTTGCATTATTGCAAGATTAACTGGGTTCTAAAAATACTGTAAGAGAACCACATTGTTTCGTCTTAAACTGACATATAAATTTCTTTCAGATTGATTACACACCACATAATTAACAAGTTCATGAACATTTTTGATCTTAAAGCATTTCGATGAAAACAAGAAAAAGGTAATAGGGTAACAACCACATTGGGTTGCTATTGTTAAACTGAAGCTTCCTCCCTATGTAACCTTTATGATCTAATAACAATGTATTTCTAGAATGCATTACTCTTCAGGTAATCTTTCTTCACAATAAAACAGTGTAACACACATCTGTAACTGAGATTTTATAGTCAGTGTAAGTCTGATTTTCAGCACTGGTGGAAGTGTACAAAGCTCACACCAACCATGGTTCTGATACACAGCATTTGCTTTTCAGAACAAGGGTTCAAGACAGTACTTCAACTACTGTATTTTCAATAAAATAAACAAAACACAGTACAGTGACGTAGAACACTGACAAGTTAACACTGAAATCCAGCCCACTTATACATTTTGGCTGGAGAAGAAAGCTTTATCCAAAATTGAAGCTAGGCAGGTTAACTATAAAAATAAGCTACAGTTGTGGATCTACCATCTCTTTCTAGATCTGGTATGAAATCAGCTTCATTTAATCAATTAAAAAATTCATCTATTAATCTTAAACAGCTACGAACTAAGTTATGAATCAAAGTTGAACTCCTTCCATTTTTTACCAGAAGTTGAGATATTAATGTAAACAGATTATTTTATAGCTCAATATAATGAAGTCATTGAACCCAAAAGCTTCTCCAATATTAAAACTTCTGCTATGTTCCATTTACACAGTACATAACTGTATTTTGTCACTATGTGCAAAATAGATACTGTAATACCATTCTTCATTAAATTACCACATAAATGAAGAGGGCCTGGAGACCAACTGTATTTCATGTTTGAGATGACAAGTTTTGATACAAGAAGTAATGCATTTGGTTGAATATATGATATGGTATTTGATCAGAAACATTAACTATCTTGGCTGTATTCAGCATTGTGCAGAAATACTGCATATGGTAAGTGTAATGAGATTTTCTATTTGTACTGTACACTTTAACTGCAGTTCAATGATGCTCCTTTAAAATCTCAATCTTTCCTTGGTTTTACACTGCCTGACAAAGTTTCCTACAAAACAGCATGTGCAACATAATTGTTGATTGCCTATCCTATAAAACCTCTACAAAAAGAGCTCTGCTATCTCCACTGGAGGATTTGGGATAGAAATGATATACTGTAACTGTACCTAGCTGTAAGAAAATTGAACCATGAATAATTGAGTCAATCAAAAACAGGCTACGATGATACCAAACTACTTCACTGTGACCTAGAAAATCCAGGCTTGCCCTCCCATAGATTTCCATCAGTGTTATTAAGCCAAGCACAGCAGCCCAGTACAAGCTGATTCAATGAAACTAAAAATTGCAAAAGTTCAAACTAAGCTATTTCCCTGCTAACAGTGAAATGCTGAGAACCAGAATTGAAGCATGCAGAAGAAAACAGAAGGGGAAAAAATGGGGTTGGAAACAGGGAGTGTCAGGAATCCAGGACAGAAAAGAGCTCATTCCACCTAGCAGTGTCTTGAAAGGGCAATCACAATCAGGGAAAAAGGAAAAAAAATATTGACCCTTAAAGCTGCAATGCCTACATGTACTCACCAAGTGGAGGGAAGCCCCGAGCAGGGCTTGTATCTCGACTGCTCTCACGGCTGGTATCACGACTGCACCCCTGACTCATGCTGGGTCGGGGGATGCGACTGCTCCGTGCTAGCATGCAGCATGGAGAGTTTCAGAGAAGGTGAACAAGTTTAATGAGGACAGAAAGCTCAAAGTCAAGTTACAGTTCTGTTAGTTATGGTAATTATTACATTAGTAATTATAATTTGCAGCAGCCTGCTCAGGCTCTTAACAAACCAACTACCTTATATGCTGAGCTATGTTTGTGATGTGAAATTTCAGCAGCATTAATGTCTGGCTGACAGTCTGCTTTTTTCTTAAGCAATCCAAGTTTTGTTATTCAAGTAGAGCAGGAATCTTTAATCATTTAGGGAAGCTCTACTGTTGCAAAACAGATGAGGCTGAAAGAAACTCTTCCAGAATATTTCTTCCTTAATTTTAAAATAAACACCCTTCTGGAGCAAAATAGCAGACAAAAATTTCTTTAAGTAATCATAATACCAATACGATATTTTTACATAGATTTGCCTTTCACGAAGTTTTTTTTTTTGAACAAATATCCTAAGGGAAAAAAAAGGTCTACTGCACAGACTTGCAGAGAGATCTTTCTCCAATGAAAGATACTGAGGAAAAAACATTTAGAATCTGAATACCTGAAAGACAGGTTAACAAGTGATTTGAATTTGAAGAGAGCAGTAACTTCAGATATTTGACAGAAGCTAATTTCTGCTCCTTAGACATTTCTAGAAGCTTATCTTTATGATTTTATATGCACACAGTATGAGACATGTGCACACTTCAGGGGAGCTATAAACTACATTCTTTACTTGGACAAAACCCTAGATGCCTGCAGATGCTTGAGACCCTGCATATTTTTAAAATGTTTGCAGAAAGTTATTTAGTAAGCTTTATGCCTGATGAAGAATACAACATTTTCTTAGGGCAAAAACCAGCAGTTAATTGTCAGGAGAATTTAATGACAAGAGGAATTTCCCTTGCTGTTTTGAAAAAGCAGTAGCATATTTCAAGTGTTCAGGAATGGCTTTTGAGGAATTTTCTCAGGCAGAGAGAAAACCTAATCTACCAGTTTTGATGACAACACAGCAGAGGTACATTAACATGAACGTGCTAATACTTTGACTGTATGCTCATTTTTATAAAAATAATGTCATTTGCATGCTTCAGAATATATATACATATTCTTATAAATCTCTATTGGGTTTGTATACGGAACTTAAATGCCTAGACTCAAGCTGAAGTTTCTCTACTTCAGTGCTTGCACATACACTGGATATATTAGCATCCTTCGAGCAAAACAGTACAGAACAGAATAGAAACCTTCATATTTAGGCTTTAAATTTCCAATAGAGACTTCTGCCAAATTCTTTGTCAAATCCCTCCCAGTTTTGCAAAACCCAGTTCGTATCTCTCTGATGAATTAATGGTTCTGATGGTTGACCTCTGATGTCAGACAATGCACGATGAGTGATCAACCAAGCTGATTAGATCACCATAATGTCTAATGGTACTGAGTTAGATGGTCTTACAATAAATAAGACAGACTAAATTATAAGAATTGGATGAAGTTAGGGTCCATGAGTACAATAATCCCATCTCAGATGTACAAGGGAAAAAGCTGACACATGAACTACAGGTAAAAGTAACACTAAAGTTCGCCACAGAAATACTTGGTTTGAAACTGTAGACTCTCTAGAAGCAAACTTCTCATTCTTGGGTCTCATGCTTAGATATAAATATTGGCAGCCATCACATCAGGTTTGCACAAGCAGTCATTTCTCTTAAACAGAGAAGATCTGCCCATCTTTTCTATAATACAACCCTACTAAAACCAGTAAAGGCTCTTTAGAGAGGGAGAGATGTTAATGATTAAAAAAATTAGTGGATGCACACAATAGATTCTCCTTCCATACCAGCTAACAGCAGCAGCATGAAGTATGAAGAAAATGCACTTCAACTGCATTGTCCTACTAGTGTAGGACAATGCCACAGATGAAGCATAATACTGACTTCACAAACAGAACACCCAAACACTGCATACTGCCGGATTAATGGTCAAATAAAAGGGTTGCATGCTACTGGATACATAAGAAAAGCAAGAAAAAAAAAATGGGATTGAAAAGAACTGAAGGATGAGTCTGCTGTGGGCTCCCAGGCACCTGCCTCTCATTTTCACCACCACGTTGTGTAGAGAAGATTTTGTATCAGCTACTCAGACTATTTATTTTCAACACTGTCAGCAGTAAAGGCCAGCAGTGTTGTCATTTAGCTAAGTCTCATACTGTGACAGCCTGTCTCTGCAGTGCAGGAAGCAAAAGCAAAGAAGACAGACTAAGTCTCAATTTGAGAATTCTCAACCTCCAAGAGTTGAACAGAAATCAAGTGAATGAGTAGCAAAATTGATTAAGAGGAGTAGGCAGCATAAAAGCAGAGAGTGTGTCCACAGCCAGCTCTGCTGTGAGAAAGTCTAGAAGAGGACAAGAATGGGTTGTTTTCAATAATCCAACCTTCTAATGCGTACTGTACATCTAAGTTTTACCAATTTCATCTGGAAAGTCCGAGCACTTAGACATGGCTCACATCATTATTAAAACACACTATTAAGCCAGTGGAACCCAATAGATGCAAATATCACCAGCAGAACATGAAAGTGCCCCTGTTTACCCGTCTACCACTTGGAAGACACAGGTATCTCTTTAGGGTGTGATATTTAATCACTCTTAACTGGAGACTAAAAATCATCAGATGCTTTCTTACATCAATACCAGCATTTTAAAGAGTCTGAAATTCTGCCAAATAGCCAAAGGAAAGCTCTGCAGTGGGGAACACCCAGTCAAGGCAAGTCAAGAACTGCCTGCAGATTTCCAATAAATGCACAGAGCATAACCCCAGCAGGAAGAGTGCTGCTGCACAAAGCTGATAGGCAGCTGTGCTTGCTCCACTTTTTGGAGAATGGCTGTCTTGAATCTCTCACATCTTTCAGATCCAGCTATGCCACATGATCTGCAGAGCATCCAACAGAATTAACTTCAGGCTGACAATTTTCAATCCATTCGAAATGGATATCACCTGTTTGAGCAGATGATCTCATTCAAGGGGCCCAATGAAATGCTCAAGATTAAGTGGACTGCGCTCCTCCTTCCCCAGGAGGATACCAGCACTAATAAAACTCACTGAGCAGACAGAAAAGGCAAGCTTAAAACTGAAGGGCCACAAGTAGAGCCCTATATAAATGACTAGACAGGACCTCAGCACACTGAATGTGTCTCACTGTGCTGTCTCTGGGGGAAAAAAACCTTCTTTAGGGTTCCCAGCACACAGAAGGAATCTACTTCATGGATACCTGTAGTTATGGAAATCAAAGCTAGCAGCAAGGTACTGATGCTAACAGGCATCCACATGCAGAGGGCTCTATTATTGCTATTACTGCCCCAGGAGGCCCTGAAAAACTCCAGGGGATGGTTTCTGCAGCTGAAATCAAGGTGAGTGGGAGTCTATTTAATGAGATGAACAAACAAAATAAAATATCAAGGAAATACAGAGACTGAAGCAACACAGTAAGGAAGCATAAAATACTGTTAGCTACTATGTTATAAAGTAGTAAGTACAATGGAATAATGGTATATAGCTGACAGCTCAAAAGCCATCTCCATCTGGGTCAGTACTACAACTTTCAAAATCCAATAAGTAAGACAATTTCTGCAACTGAACAGTAAAGTGTCAGACACTCCTGTTCCCATAACAGCTCAACCCAGGCTGTGTCCACCAACCTGGGGGGAACAGGTGAAAGCCACACATCCCATACACGTCAGAGCTCTCTCCCACTCTCAAAGAACAAGCACTGATTGTGTTCTCAGGGAGCACATCGGAGAAATGAGATACAAATTACTCTTCCAAAAGAATTCAAGGCTCCTGTAATATACTTGAAAGCAGGCAACCCAAGAGTGAGGATTTTACACAAGGCAATTTCCCTCCAGGTGCTCAAGAACGTTTAAAATCAGACCACATAATATGATGATCAACTTAAGCACGTGTGATGGTACCATCCACCATTCTTTGCTTCCTCCTAAAAAGCAATGCTCTTCTACACACTGATAGCAGAACAATTACCTCTAGTATTTGGGAGGCACTTTACATTTTAAAAGCAACGAATAGAAAAGCACAATATATTCATACAGAGCCCACAAAATAGATCAGACATGAGAAGAACACTAAATTTGGAAAAGCAGTCACAATGAATATGCAGTATTTTTTATGAATCATAATGGCATATACACTCAGGTGCTTTAAACTCATTTCAGTATACTGGAAAGAATGAATAAAATACTTCTTTATTAACAACCTCCTCTAAATAAAAATGCAGCTCAAATGTAAAATATAAAACTATTGCTAAGGCAGTAGTCATAAATTTAATTGCCAAAAGTAAGGCTCCAATTCGAACCAATTTCAATCTACTAGTAAAGTCTTTGGAGATTTAAAATGATACTGACTGATACTAAGTTATTTTTTATGTTCTTCTTTTACATTAACTTCAAACTTATAAAATAATTTCTATTACAAAATGAAAATGTTCAGACAGCACACTGAATACCTTTTCACTTCAACTCCAAGTTTAATAAATATTTACTCACCAGACTTAAAGTCTGCTGATAAATTTGGAAATAGAAACTATTACAGAATATTTACCTAACAGTCACTGAGACGAGAGTATCAAAACCAGAACAATTAATACATCAGTCTAAAATGTGTTCTAAGAACATGGCTCCAGGATATTAAAGATGAGAGAAGCAAACCATTTAAGATGCAAAATTTCTAAAATAATCCAAGAAGGTGCTTTTTTGCCCTTGATTCCATATGACCCTAAAGACTGCTCAACTCATTTTAGGACTAAACTTAAATAAGATCTTTTTTCTGGGATGTTATTCACAATTTTCTTGCTTCCTTATCTAATAATATCGCTCATGTTGAATTTCAAACAGAAAACGCATCATGACATCTTTAGGCTTATTCTGAAACCATAAACTCAACCTGGAAAACTGAAATTACTCTCCTATAAACCACAATCTTATTAACTTGTCAGCTGAAAGACTCACAGAGTAACAGTAACACGAAGAGTTTCCTAGTGAGCAGCAAAGCCCCTCCTGCAAGCACGCCGGGCAGTGCCTGTCCTTACCTAGGCCTATTCTGTTGGGACTCGTCTCCCGACTGCAGCCCTGGCTCCGAGGAATCTTGCTGCGCTTCTCTGAGGATGATGGCACTGGCTGGACTCTGGATGCTCCACTGCTCAGGCCACCATAGGAGCTTCCTAAGAGCTTACCCGGAGAGCTAGACCGGCTACCAGCTAGAACAGAACCAGAAATAAGGGAAAAAACAATTAAAACCCCCCAAGATTTTAAACACACTGACAGCAAAACTGGAACACAATCAGCTCTATGTAAGAATTTAATCCAAATCCCTCAGAAAACTAACAGGAGTGTTCCCTATAAGCTTTCAAGAAGACTGAGGAAAGCCTGTAGACAATGAACACTGACATCAGCAACCTTCTGCTGCCCATGGAGATGAAGCCCAAAGCAGGCACTGCAGTGTATGAACACCCAAGTCGGCTTTAGGAGAGCTTGTAGAGGTGCTGAGGCAGCCTTGCTGCAGCAGCAAGGGATTTCCAGACTGTCTCACCTCCTCATAAAGCAACACCAGCCAGGCTGTGTGCAGAGCTGTGCTGCAGTGCCCTGGCTTCTGCAAAGCAGCTCAGGCAGCTTCGTGCTACACAGCAGTGGTGGCATAAATTCTGTGAAGGAAAATAAAAACCCATCACATCTGAACAGATCAGCACAGCAATGGGTAAATCCCATGAGCCTCACACTCGTAGAGATGCTGGCTTACTTAGATCTGGCTGGTTAAACCTAAGTTATTTATTTTTCAGATGATGAAAATTTTTAGCAAGTTGAACAGTTGGCCTGCTTTATTTTTCCTTGTCTTTTTGAATAGTCCATGGCAACTATACATTTCTTCTTAGAAATGAGTATATGAGTCCCTGGTAATCTGCTGTTGCCATTACTATTTCTGACATTAAATTTATTTGCTGAAACAGCCAGGAAAACCACATTTGAAAGACCATACTCAGGCAAGCTCACATTTTGAACCAATATTCATACTGACTTCTTTCTGAAATGCATCTAAACATCTCACAAAAATTTCATTTCCAAATACTGTTACAACCAGTAAGAGTTGAAGACTGGTCTTCTGTCCTAATTTAAGAAGATGTGCAACTCTGTTAGTGTCACAACCAATACCATAGCACATGTATAAACTTACATGCCCCCTCCAATTTCTTGGCCAGAGTCATTCTGAACCAAATATACACCAATACTTTTTGTGGTACTGGCTCCATTCTCCCCACCCCAAAATGACAGGTGCTAGTCTTCCACACAGCACCACAACCTAAAAGTCATCTCACTGGTATCAGCAGGGATGTACTGAAGTAACTGAGAGAAGAATTCAGCCCCTGGGGTTTGAGCCAACTTCGACATCAGAACGTACACTTACCATGTTTGATTAGCGAGAGAAAGCAAAATCACCTGCCACACACATTTTGATTTATGACTTCAACAAAATGCTTTTTAAGTCTTACAGTTAGGAGAGAATGAGGAAAGCTAAAAGCTTAGCAGTTAAAAAATGTGAAGGAAATAATGTGAAAAAGCAAGAAAGGGAAAATGTTTCTTACCACCAGCAGGATTAGCTGATCTGGATCCTTGATTATGAGGGCAGACCAAGGGACAGGCAAAAAGTGGATTAAAAGACAGCAAGACAATACAGCGTTCAGCATGCGGTTTGTGCAATACACAATACAGACAGATTTATTTACAAACATGTCACCCCTAAAGCCTCTGCAGAATGCAGTGAGATAATGTGCAGATGTAGCTAAACTTCCCAAGGCTGACCAAGGTCTCAGCAAAATGTTAACCAAGACACCAAGAGCCAAGTTCTGCTCTAAACTGCACCCCAAACCAGTCTGCAAAATTACAACAAGGTAATCCACTGTGTGGGCATGGAGAATTTGGTCCTGGCACCAACTCCTTATATTGGAATTTGTAAATTATTCCATACAACATTTGGTTTAAGGCTAAAGAGCAGATCTGGTTGGGCAAGGCTGGAAAATCAGCAAACTAGGCCAGTGCAGCAGGTCCAGATATGACCATCCTAAATCTTCATAAAGCATTCTATAGAAAAATTAGGCCTATAATCTTTGAAACCTTTAAAGATTAACTATTTTTTAAATACTTCTGAGACTTGTCTCATCTGGTCTGACCATTTTTCACCACTAAGTTTAAGGAAAAAGGGTCACTTCTGGTTTTGGATCAGTTCTAGGTTCAACACTGAAGAAAACTATTTACATTAGCATCCCAAAGCCCAAATATATCTTTTATGACCTCAATGTAAAGATTTCAGTTTGGCCCCATGCTCAATATACTATGTCTTTCTGCAGTTCTCCCAGCCTAACATAAGACTATAAACTGCTTTTTCATCCCTCCAGCATGACAGAGCAAAGCAATGAAAGAATGAACAGAGAAGGGCTTTCAAATAGGGGTACAAAGCAGACAAGTCCTCAGAACACACAGGTCCTCCCACAAACCCAATCTCCTATTCACAAGGTTAAAGGTCCTCATAACAAGGAGTTTTTCCCTCCCCCCAATTCCTTTTACCAGTCTGAGTGACAAAATTCTCCTCAGATACACATGACAAATATGCAGCAGCACCACAGGTGTGGCTCCTAGGAGAAAACCATGCCTTGCCAGGCAGCCAGAGAGCGCAGATGTGTCATGTGAATCAAAGCAGAACCCTTTTTCCCATGTCTACACAAAATAGGTAATGTCCTATTTTCAACTGATGCCAAACCCCATTAATTTTAGACAGCTCACGTGTTCACACATACAGAAATAGAGTCACATAAGCAGGAGAGGCTTAGCAGGGCAAGCAGTCAGCTACAGGCCCAGGGGGTGTCTCAGCAAGACACAGTGCCAGTTATTTAGAGCTACACATCACAGCAACATGAAATTCTGCTGCACAACTGGTAAAAAAGGCTGCAGCTAAGCACTCGGATTTGGGGCCCTGTTTGTCAGCAGGAGCACACACTGCCTAGGTGGGGATCTGTTTTATTTTATGTCCAAAGTGATGCCAATTCTCTGATGGTGCTACTTAAACTCAAGAGAAACACATTAGTAACTCTGTTCTGCTCCCCCAGGAATAAAGCAATTCATTCTTACGCTGGGACTGCGAAACTACTTTAGCCCGGCTGCGGCCTCGAGTATCAGCAGGCGTCGAGGTGACACTTGTGGCACTGCCAGAGCTCTGCCTCCTGGTGCGAATCCGACCTGCAGGAATGCAAAGACAACCAGACTGTTAACGAGCTTCTTACAAAGGCAGCAGTAGCGTCTAACAAACTATACACACAATTACCCAGGGCACAAAAGAATTTTACTGGGAGAGGCAACACCTTTTATTAGGCTGGCTGAGATGCAGAGGAGGGAGTGGAAACAGCCACAGTCCATAATCCAAAAACTTCTTTGCTTCCTGTAATGCTATCAGCCAGTTTAATTAAAAAATATTACCTCTCTATATCCTTTGCTCCTGTTCTATAGTAGCTTCTTTACAAAGCACCAACAACAAAACATTTCAAGTCTCCTAAATCCAGCTTCCTGTATTAAATTATTACTTTCTGACAAGGTGATCACCCTTTCAGAGACAGGTGTGACAGATGCCCTCCGAAATTCCATTGCTGGGATTTCCACCTAGCTGTCTGGTGCTTTATATCCTGCTCCACCTGCGCAGGCTGGCAAGCACTCCTGTGACAGTCTGTCAACACAGTCTGATCACGCTTTTATTTAAGGCTCATTGAATTTTTCCTGCTGTTTACAGGTCCCTTATATTTATCCAGAGATCAGTGCAACTTTACTTGTAATGGAAAGCCCCATTTACCATAATCAGTGTTGAAAAAAACAGATTGAGTGCCTTCTCTTTATTTAAGCAGAGAAGGGATATAAAGTCTCAAAGTGTTCTCAGTCCTTGTTCTGTCCTTTCCCTGTGGAAAAGCCACAGAAATTTGAGCTAGGAAAGCTTACAGGGTCATCGGTTCATCCCCTTCCTAGGGCAGGGTAGTTTCCTACAGAATGTTCTTTCCAGTGCTAAGCTTCAATTATCTGTCTCTAGTTAATGGGAAAGAAATGGTAATTAAGAGTAACACAAAGAAAGCCTCAATCAGTACTTTTCAACACACCAGTTCCTAGCCAAATCTGAAGCTTTTTTTTAGGACTCATGCCAGTGCTGTCCTGCATTCAGAGGATGACTTCAAGTTTCAGGCACAATAATGAAAGGAAAAAACCCACAGCAGGTAAGAGAAGTCTAGACAAGTGCACCCACTGGTTATAGATACTCATCTCCTCTGTCTCTGCCATAAGCTCTGTCTCCACCATAAGCATACAGAGAAATACAAATAGGGAGACACAAACTTCCCACCCAAAAAACCCACCTCACATAAGGCACACATGCAGGACAAGACAATGGCAAGCAGCCCAGATAGAGCGATTGGGAGCTATGTTCTTTCTCTGAACTCTCAAAATTATTCATAACACGGTCTGAAAACTTCTGCTAGACACAAAGTGACAAGGAAATGCCTAACTTTGAGAAGAAAGGGCAAATTTGTTAGGAAGGGAAAAAGCCTACAAGACAGCTCTACTTCAAACCTCTCCACAGCACCTAGTTTCAAAACAGCTCAGTAGGCAAAGTGCAGGTATGTATATTCAAACAATTGTTTACAGACAAGACACGGAAAGAATCATCTGCATAAAACTGGGAAAACACAAAACTTGTTAACCGCTGGCTCAACTGAACAAGCTCTGAGCACACCCATGTGGGTCCAACAGCCATAAAACTGGCTGCTGGTGTCTTTACCACCAGCAAGGCTGCAGATTCCTATGCTCTAGGGCATTCTTGCCCCTTACAAAGGACCAGTCAGATGTACTGCCAGAGACAGCTCTAGAGCTCTCTGCCAGCCAGATCCCACCCCATGCAAGTCTGGCACAGCTACACACAGGTGAACAGAGCCACTCAGTCACTTGGTAATGAGGTATGGACACAAATCCTGACACAGGCTCCGAGGCAGGCAGACATCACACTCCTCTCAGAAGCCTCAAGGCTTCCCTTCGTTTCTATCAGGAATTTAAACCTGACCAGTCTTAGGAACCAGTAATGGAATTCATTTACATCCTTCCAGAAGGCGAATGGGAGGCCTTGGCATTGCAGGAAGTCCTAGGGGTAAAGCAAGCTGAAATTCAACACTACACACAGTAACAGGCATCACTGGAAGACACATTTAGTGATGTGCATGGGCCAAGATTGGGTGAGAAGGAACTGCTGTCTCTTCCTCTTACACAAAGGCTACTTGAATCTGCTGGATTTTTCTGTATCTACAGAAGCTTTTCCCCCCACTTCTTGCATCTTCATCAACAGGTGACTAAGAAGGGGAAAATTGGGATAAGATATGTGACTTTTCCAACTTAAGAAATACAAAGCCTAAAATAATACATAAAGTGAGACTGAGATTACCTTCTGAAACCAATCCTAGAAGCTTTAAAAAATAAAACAGAACTAATGCAAACTTAATTAACATGTGATTATCAGCAGGATTGGAAAAAGAGAACTCAGTCCTATTTTTAAACCCCTGAGGCCTGGTGGACAGATTCCTACCAACTTCAGCAGTTTATGAATGAATGAATGCATGCATTCCCAGGAACAAAATTCTGCTTCCTTCTGGACTGTTCCATTTGCACACTGATTAAGGCTATTGGGTGTCAGAGGGAACAGTGTCAGAGAAACTCTTCTTCCACAGGAAGAACAGAGTTCCAACACTGATACAGATTTTCTCATCCTTTAAAAAATGCTGACAAGCATTTGAAGACTGCATTGGACTTGCATTGTGCAAATGGATTTTTAATATATATCATACCAAGTACAGCATGCATGTATAGTAGTTAATCCATACAACACATGTGTCTTCTACATTCCCCCAGGAATTTCTTTTGCAAGCAAGAATCTGCACTCACATCCAAGAGTTACTTGTACATAGTGTGTGTGGCTTTATCATTCTAACCCAGACAGAAAAACTAAAATTTCAAGCAGGACTGGGAAAAAAATATCAAGTAAGTTATTTAAACTTTTTTGTTGTCCTTAAATTCAAGCAAACGCCTCCCCTCCCAAAACTTCTTTGCTTTCAAGTGGGTTGGTCTCCATATCTAGCTCAAACTACAGATGTAGCAATCCATATTTCATAACCATTATTTTTCTGCTGCTTTTAAAAGCATTGCTGCATCCTAACAACAACTGCACGGCAAAGGAACAGATAAGACTGCCCCAACTAGTTTCCAAAAACCATAAAAGTATTTCCATAAAAAAGCCTTTGATCTAAATTTGACATGTGACACAGCGTTGTTGGTACAGAAAAGATTTTGAAAGACTCCATATAAATGCGTTGTGTTAAGAAACCATTTCTGGATTTTTAGGAGGTTTTGGTTTTATTTTTTACAATTACTGTCATTTTTACAACAATGGTTCAGAATCAACCCTGAAATGTCTAACAAATGCCTAAACCTAGAAAGGTTGGCTTGGCTTTTTGGTTTTTTGGTTTTTCTGTCAAGAAAGGGACAAATTAAGGAAGATTCTATAATAAAATATAATTTGTGGTTTACAAGTGGCTTCACCTGGCAGGTCGAGCCCTCTGGCTGGATACTGCAGCATCCCCATCCAGTGCTCAGAACAGTCACAGGCTTTATATGACACACATTTTCAAATAGTCTAGAAATGGTATATAACAGCTCTACAACTCATTTTAATCAATTCCATGCTGTGAATAGGGACACCTATAACCACACAAGTTATAAATGGATGCACTGGGATGATAATGGCCTCTCCAGGGATCAGGTTAATGCATTCAGGTTAACCAGCACTGGATTTTTGCCCCAGCTGGAGAGAAGCATTCCTGAAAGAGCCTCTAACCCTAGCGGTATCACTGCTAAATTACACACGGACATGAGAGACACACAGAGATTATTTAAAAACAATAAAAAGATAATATTTAAAAAACTTTTTACAACCACCATCAGAATGGTCTCCATGCATATTTAGGACTTCTCCAATGTTAGAAAGACCTGACTCTGGACCATGATTTACCCTGGGAAGCACCTGATCCTTACTGGAAACCATCAGGCTGTGCTGCCTCTGGGTTCTATATGAGATCTCCCTCCAAAGCAGAGGGCTCAGTGAAGAGTCCACTTTGCCCTACACAAACACAGCCAAATCAACTCAGCACTTGCAAAGGGATGGAGCAAGAAAAGTAAAGAACCTGAGCAGTTCCGTGTAAGGTACCACAATCAGACACAACTTTGAGTTAAGCCCTACCCTTAAGGACAAGGGAGAGCTTTAAGGCAGAAAACAGGAATAGTGATTTCTTTAAACTTGTGTTACTTCCAAAGCCTTTGATAATGCGCTCAAGGTGTCCACCTCAGCCTAAGTTAGCTGAAAACTGTAACAAACCCCATTTTATTGCCTTTCTGGTGAATAATAAAAACTACTAAAAATTGTGCCACTGACTGCAAACTGCTGATTTTGTTTTGAACTTGCCAGTCGCAGGTCAAACCAGCATTTACGCTTTCCCTTTTGGAGAAAGGCTTTGTCCGAAGGGCTTTGCTTTATGCTTGCCTTGAAAAAAGGGTAACATAAATGCTCTGAGCCATTCTAATTAATGAAAGCCAGCATTATGCACCCTTTTAAAATATTCCTTGAAAAGCTGTTTCATGATAAAATAAGCAGAAACTTTTCTGAGGTTTCCTTTTAATCAGGTGTAATAAACATGGCACAAGTGCCACCTCCCTAACACTAGCTGTGAAGATCAAGACTGTAAAAGTTTATCTCTTTTGAGCTTTCTGTGCATAAAGCCCTTAAAGCAGTTCAAAAGATCCCCATACGTGAAGGATCTGGGCAATCAAAGCATATCTGTGCATTGCATGAAGACCTGCACAAACCTCACTAGTATATGCTCACCTGCCTTTCCATAAGGAAGTGCTCTTCTACAGCATTTGCCAATTGTTGGAATGTCACAAATTAAAACCAAAGGACTTATACTCAGCTCTTAGTTGGCATTCTTGCCACTGGCATCACCTACTTTATCTTGCTCCTTTGTTTGAGCTGCCTGACTCCAAACCAAACCATGAGGAGAACCAAGGGCAAAGCAGATGGGAACTGCCAAGTCCACACAATACTGGCTCTCCACTGAGGGGAATGAGCAGAATTTTACAATGTAGCTACAGAAAGCAGTGATGGGAACCAGACTGCAGATTTAATGTCAAGTTGAACCACACAAAAAGACACAGGAATTTTCTTTTAAATTACTTACTGGTGACCTGCAAAAAAACCAAAACAAACCACAGGAGCACGACTGTAGACTACATTTCTGCTTTATGTTCTGCTTCCTTCTGTTTCCAGAGTAAGAGAATGTTTTTCTCTACCCTTACCTTAATTTTTACATTTATGGTAAGAATACACAGTTTATCCTCACTGTAAATCCTGACACAATCGGCAAGATCACAGAGTTGGCAGAGGACCTTACTCAGCTTCACTCTTCAGTGAAGGACATGCTAAATCCTGAAAAAAAGGTTTTTTTCTCCTGAACTATCTCAAAGGAAAAAGATGAAGAGTTTCAAATAGTGATTAAACTCATTCTTGAAGTACTCTGGCTATAGTGTACTGTGTAATTTTAATTCTCCCTGATCCTCCTCCTCAAAAAAGAGGGAATCCTACAACAAAAAGAAGGTATAAGACTTGGTTTGCTTAGGGGATAGCAAATCCAGTTTCTGGAAGTTCATCTCAATCTTCCCTGCCCCAAGCAACTTGCTGGTTTCTATTACAGATTTTTACCAAATCCAATCTGCTCCTAATGTAACTGAATTGAAAACAATAACCAAATAAAACCCCCATCCTTTTGCATCATGACAATAAAGTATTTAATAAACTAAAAATAGAGGTATTCCACAGGACAGCTATTTTAACAGGCCTCTGCAAACATTATTATAGCCAAGGAAAAGGATTGAAAGCTGTATATGGTATTTCACATAAAACATTAAACCTTCAACATTTTAAATGTAGGCCAAAAATAGATAGGTTTGAGAACTAAGATGAAAGAAAAAAAGAAAAGGTTCAACAAAAAAAAAGGAGAAGAAAAAAGATCAGTTATTACAACAACTTGGAATTTTCATCTATCTCATAACTGATTTAGAAATACAGGTCTCAGGACAACTTGATATTCCTTATCACTGCCAGATCACAAAATACAAATACTTCTTGCTCAAGATGCAGAGGTCAGGTCATCTCTCAACACTAAGTACCATTTCCAAAAATGGTACAGAACTTTTCTTCCAAATAATAAATCAATGCATCACTAATAGTAAGGAAAATAACACAGATGTTACAACAGCACAGTGGCACTTCTCAGACCACCACATCCAAATACAAGCAGCCATCAAAGATACGAGCACAGTCCCACAAGACAGTAATAGATCCCTTGAAAAGAGACTTGCACTTGGAAAAAAAAAGGCTTTGCTGGAGAGTGTGGTATCTTCATTCTGTGTAGAAAACATTCTTGTTTTCAGCTCCTGTCTACCTCAGAGAAAGTGATTTCCCAGTGATTTATTTTGCAGAAGAAATAAAGAACAAGTTTTGACAACGAGCCAGAAAAAAAGACTGGGATCCTTCCCAACCTAGCAGGCTCAGTGTTCTAGTAAAAAAAGCCTTTCCTCCAACTGTCTTTGGTGTAAACCATCTCACTCAGACAGTTACCAACAAAAAGAGAGAGGTCAGGTTTAAAGAGGTTGACTAAATATTCCTTCCCTAGAGATCATTGTTTACTGTCCTCATTTTTCTGCCATGTGATCATCTCATTCAATTCTCTCACTGCCCAGTCTCTTCCCGAAAGCATTTGGCAGTTGTGACCTGAGCTTTGGATGGAAAAACACAGCAAACCTTTACACATCAAGGAGAAATCACAAGCCTTGTGGTGTTTGGGAGTTTTTTTGTTTTTGTTGGGGCTTTTTTAGTCTATACACAGGTCGCCTTCAACCAAAAGCAATGCTTTAAATAGAGAAATCCATATAACAACTTAGGGACCAGAATCATAAAAGCAGACTTATTAGCAGGGAGGAGCTTAAAGAGAAAGTGAGGAATACCCCATGGCATCAAAATGAGCAGGACAACCATGCAACACTTCATGCAGGTCACCAGTGAACATGGATGAGAACCAGGTAACACTTTGAGAACAGAGACCAGGTAGGATAGTACGACTGTGACGACTGTGGACACACCTCAGTTACACAGAGAGACTGCTTACCCTCGGTTTTACTGGTAGTACCATCTTTAGGCAAATTAAAGAAAAGTAAGGACAGGGTTAATAGGGAAAAAAATCAGTAACATCAACAGAAGTGGGCACTATATAACAGCTACATAAATATGCAAAAAAAATTAATACATTAAAATTAAAGAAATGAAAGAAGTTGGACCGAGCAGTAAATCAAACCTCGATGTATTAGAAGAAAACACTTGCAGGTTTTCCCTCCTGCAACAACCAACCTTTGCTCAACTCCATTTTCGTTGTTTGCCTCACCATTTCTCTCATGGGAATGTGCAGGTGATAAATGTCCCTATTAGCTATAAAGGAAGCAAGATCCTTCAGGAGCAGCCATGTTTGCATCACTTAAGAGTGAATTTGCTACTTTTCTCCTAGAGCTTGGTTAAAGAACAAGACTGATACTGGAGTCAGTCTCTAAGCTTCAAGGACCAAGTCAGCTTTAAGTAGATACTTCCTCCCTCTTCATTCCTCCTTATGACATAAGACTGTTTGAAGTCAGTTTAGCCACTGAAGTCAGAGTGCAGCACAACTCAAACGTGGCTGCATCTGTAAGCTCACCATCATGTGATCAGCTTCACATTCTGTAATTACACTTCCACTGCAATGTATCTGCATCTTGAACCAAGTATGAAAAATTTAAATCAGAATAAGAATTTAACTTCTGAACTGAATACAACCAACACATCCAAGTCAACATTTCAGATATGAAAGAAACCTGTCTGAAAAAGGAATCCATTAAAACCATCCCTATATAATTCACCACTTACTTTTTAACAGGCTAAAGAGCAAATTCCCTACATCAAAAGAGGAAACTCCTCAACTGACTCAGTGAAGACAATGTACAGAGCTTAAATCAAGAGTACAGACCCCTGAGTTTCTTCCCTGTTGTAAAGGTAAATCGATGACAAGTCTGGGATTAGATTAGTGTGAAACCAGCAGAATGAGAAACGAGCTCAGATGATCAGCTCTGCTCACAACCAAGATGAAGCTCAGCAAATACTGTATCAATCACTGCCTTGCATTTCCTCCTCCGTGACTCCTTCGATGGCAACTCCAGGAGAGAAAGATCCAAAGCAAAGTTTGTTTTAAGAAAGCCTGAGACACCTGAAGAAGATATACAATGCTCTGAGGGAATGTGACATGTAGCTATAATCCAAAGAGTCAGCATAAGGAACAGATACTTCGATCCTGTCTGATGACATGGCAAGGCCGACCTCCTCTTTGCTTCTCTCTCTTTCTCCTTTGTGAAACAGAAAGGGAGCAAACTCAACTAAGATGTACTATCCAAAGCATAAAACAATTAATGAAAAAACAATTTCAGGAAAGGAGGGAAGGAAAAGAAGGAAAAGAGACAGGGAACATGTCAAAAGGAATTGAGTAGCATTGTCCTCAGCAACATCCCAGAACCACAGTATGTTCTGCTTTTCCCCAGAAGGAAGAGTGAGACGCAGATTATTACACAATTCAAAACTGCTGCTTCAAGTCAGTTCTGTTGTATTTTTTTCCTTAATCCCAAAGGGCAAGAGATCACACACTGATCCTGGAGAGCTGGTAAACTATCTCAGAGGTACGTTCTTCTAGTCAGTTTATTATTCCAATAAAACTGCGAGGCACTTTCTGCTACTAGAGAACGCTAACTGCAGGAGTAGAACATGTAGATTTACCTAGTGATGCGTATGACCCTGGGGGTAAGGCTGCAGCAGAACTGAAGGGGGTGGCTGCTCCAGAAGACGTCACTTTTGACTTGGCACTAGCTGCTGCATTCACATCGACGTCACTGCGGGATCGCTGCAGAGATCCTGGTGTTGACACAGATTTTGTACTTACTGTAGATGCTGCAGATGGGAGTGGGAGATCCAGAATAAAGAAGATTAATTTTTTGAGCTGCGTGCTTCAAAGAGCCTGACAAGCAGTTTAAAGTACTATTTTTAACACTCCCTGCTGGCACTGAAATACCTCAACTAAGAATGCTTTATCAGGGCAATGTGGGCTTCCCCACACTGCCTGCAAAGATATTTCATCAATTCTTCCCTGATGCTACCTCTAAGAACTTTACCAAGTTCTAAAAGCCAAAATGGTAAGATCAAAAAGGCTGTCAGGCCAGTAAAAAGAAATTTCTAACAGAATCTAGATGGGAAAGTTCAACCACAGTACCCATCACTGGCTTGTGAGAGTTGCTGGCCAAAACAGACCTGCAGGTCCTTCAGTCCAGGTTCTAATAACTTCATTCCCAACACCTCATCTTCTCATGAGGGTCGTTGTTCCCATCACTTGTTGATGCTCACACTCTTAAGCATGAAGCTTGACTACTCAGCTGCAAGCAAATATGCATTTGTGTGCACAGTCAAGTAGGTTACACAACATCATCTCCTTGAACCAAAGGTCTCACTAGGGTGTAGTTACAGACAAATCAGCCAGAACCCAACCTTGGTCAGGTGTAAAAGGCAGCTTGTACTCTACCAACAAAATTTTGTCTATTATATTCTATATTAAAATGTATTATTTAGATCATTGTATGCATTTACTTAGGACAGAAAAGCTGTACCTAAACATTCCATCTGACAAGAAAAACATTAGCAATGAGATGGAATTTAACACTATAGGACTTATGTGCAGACACCTCCAGTAAATACAGAAACCACAGAGAATAAATAACATTGTAAAACTGAAGGCACTATTAGACCATGTAGCATGTTTTAGCATCAGCAGCAGTTTACTCAAGCTATTACAACACTAAACATACTTTGGTTACAATTTTCAAGGCTTTTTAGGCTTCCCTTCAGGTGTAAGAAACTATTGATTTACTAATTTCTTTTAAAAGCGTTATTTTGTCACCAGCTGATGCACAGAATATGGTATAAAATCCAAATTAAAATTTCTACATCCTGAGCTGCCATTTTAGGGAACAGGAAACAGTGATCAAAGTTGGATTTTGCATATCACAATGTCACGCTTCCTCAGTAACACCTGAGCACATTTTTCAGCTCCTGTTCTCACCTCTTGATGTTGTACTTCCAGTAGGACTTCTTTTGGCAGAGAGTGGACGGCTGGAAGTTAATACAAACACTTATTAAAACAAAACTTATACTTCAGTCATGAAGAGCAGTACAATTCTGTTCCCTCAGTACACAATTAAGTTAATACAAAATTATTTATATGCAGGAATAAATTACCAAAGCTTTTTGGTTAAGAATAAATATAGCATCACCATGATATTATTTATAAAAGCATTAAGAAATAAATTAGTACTCATATTATTTACACAAAAATATTTTTAGGAACACTTTTTGTAGATTTAAAAAGTTACATTAGTAAGTTATGGAGATTTTTTATATAGGTCTTACACTTAAATCACAGATATTTAGAGCCTAAGTTGAATGTATATCTGAGAGTAGCTAAAATACATGCATTCAACATAAGAGTTACATATTGACTTGGCAGTTACAACTCAAGCTTAATTTAGTCATTTTTTTTCTTTTGTCTGTAAAGAGACAGACTTACACCTCTAGGATTAATGCTAAAGGCAGAACTTCGATCTAAGCACTGTTTTAAGCACCTGAAAGGAATAACTAACACTATCTGCTGAGCACAAATAACTTCCTAGAAAATTATTTATGGAGTCAAGATAATGATTATATTTTGAAGCCAGTACAGGGTTTGTTGTTCATATAGTGTTAGGTATAAATAAATAAATAAACAAACAAACAAATAAATCTATTTTGGAGTAACCAAGTGTGGAGTCCAAATAATGACCAAATGAGACAAATGTGATGGCTCCCTTCAATTCAATGGAGCTGTCTGTCAGCAAGTGTTTAAATGGAGAGGCAGTGACACAGAAAGCCTTACTTGAGACTCTCCTGGGAGCTGGAGGAGGAGCGATCCGACTGTGGCAAGGACACGATGCTGTCAGAGTTCTTCAAATGTGACTGCAGGGCCTTCTGATAGGACGACTCCAAGGTGTGGTACAAATGCTCTGCCTCTCGGCTGAAGTGACTGTGGAAACCCCAGTAGCACCTGGAAATGACACAGCACTGTAAACACACCCTTGTCATGTTTTAGCAGGCTGTGGTGCAAAGGCACAGCCAGAGCCCTTCTCACTATTCCCATTAGTGGGCTTGTCAACCCAGTCGTTTCAAGCACCTACTGCCCTGACACATTTAAGACAAACAGCTTTTTCAACCACTGTACTGCTCAAAAAGCTGCATAAAAGAAACCAAATGAAAGAACCATTTGGTGCATTTGTTGTAAAAACAGGAGTAGCCAACAAAGCTGTATTAGGGAAGAAACCTTCATCCCTCCAGCTGCCTACTGTACACGGGAGACTGCAGGCTCACCAGACTGACACAAGTATGGGACTGGGTGTGCAGTAGCTACTTCAAAAACATGCCAAAGGCAGAACACACACGAATGGGCCTGATTGAGAAAAGCACCAGCTGCTGTTTTCTTCCTCAAGTTTAACCAACAGCTCTCCAAGAATGCTGCAGAGACACGTCTCTGTACCAAGCTGAGGCTGCTGCCTGTCTTTTTCGAAAAAAGAAAAGAAGGAAAGAGATGCTCACATGGACTTCAGATCAGTGTCATTATGAACATAAAAGAGCATTTTAAGATGAGGGCAGAATTTCTCTACGGTCCAAACCTCCTGGCTGATGGCTAAATACCATTCACTCTTGGGACACAAAGGAGATGAAGACTCTCAGTACTTTTCAGGGCGCAACTAATGGGCAGTTTAAGAGTAAGATCATTAGCTCAAATGAATCAAGAATTGTTTGCGTGTGACAGCCAGTCCTCAGAGAAGCCACATGCATTCTCACATCACAAGAAGAAAACAAATTTCTGTGTCACAATCAGCCACACTGCTATTTAATAAACATGGGAAGAGCAAATTAAGCATGCTCTCTGAAGTCCCATGCCGTTCTCCTTGCTGTCTATTCAGCTTAACTAGTCACCTGCTGTGAAGTCCCAGTGACTACTGTAATTTTCAGTGATGGACATGCTGCCTTTCAAAAGGATTTAAGCAGTCCTACTGTGAAACACCACTGCTTAAAACACAGCATTTAGATTAATAAAATTTATCATTCATTGCTTTTATGTTTTACACCATCCTCTTTATGCAGAAAAATGTTCCTTTAGTGTTCTGTTCAGAAGAGCATGATCTTGGTACACCAGCATACTACCATAAGTATGATCATATTAATAGAAATGCGTAAGATCTTCAAAAGAATAAAATTAATTGAAAACATTAAAATTTCCTATAGATATACATAGATTTTTTTTTCAATGTCACAAAAGATGTGTCTGTCACCAGATCACAGGAAGAAAAGATCAGCACCTCCTTCTCTGTTTCCCCTCCTCAGGAAACTATACAGAATTGTCACTCCTCAGCCTCTCTTTTTTGCCACCAATTGGGAAGCCAGGAGAATGTACCTTGTCTGGATTTTTGTCTCAACCAATACCACTGACTCACAAAACAGGGGCAAAGAAGGGGAGGAAGAAGAGACACCAACAATAGCTTCAACTTACTTTCTTGCCTCTATCCTGGCTTCAGAGTCTGCATCATGAATTCCCTTCTTTATTGTTTCAGCTAACACTGATATGTGTCTGAAATAAGAAAGAAAATATTATGCAGCAGTTCAGAAAGATGTGCCACACTTATAAACAAATTACTAATTTGATTTTGCCTTGGTTTCTGAGAACAAACAGTTCACCACATCCTTTCATTTCCATCAAGGATTTTTGTGACCTTTATTTATTCTTACAAGTCAGTTTTATTTCATCCACACTGCTGTCTAGGAAAACAGCAAGCAGCATTCTTCATAGACCTTTACTTAGTTATCCAACCTGCCTGGATTCAAGAACAGTTTCCTAAGCCCTAAATAGTCTTGTGCAGTCTAGGGCTAAGGAAATTGTGTCCCAGTCTCTCCTCGTACAATTCAACTGGTCACTAGTTTGAAGTAATGTAGAAGTCTCATAAGCTCCTGATAAGAAATGCAGCAGACTTCACCTCATCATATCACTTCATGGTGCAAAAGGAAGACCAATTGTTACACGGAAGTTATTGAGTTCAGGTATTTGCTCAGACAGGTTTTCCAAGGCTGGCATAGGAGACATACTCACCAAAACCTGACAGAACTACAGAACAAACAGTGTATGTGCATACACGCTTCTTTGGGGTAGTAAAAACATCTCTACTACAGCTACCTAATATTATCTTCTCTCCTAAATGATCCTTTGTCCAGAATGATCCAGAAAATTATCTCCTTCTCCTCAGATGACTAAGAGAGAACAAACCCACTTGTATTCAGAACTTACCTCTCTAAGGAGTGTGTTTGCCACTCCTGCAACAGCAAGTCTAAAAATTCAAAGCAGCGCCTGAGAGGAGAGAGAAGAAATGCTGAGTTTAAGTTAATTAAGGCACACTGGCTTCCATACTCGACTCTGAACAATAGCCATCTTTGCTTAGGAAACTGTTTGGGACATCAAAATTCAGTGTTGACCCCAATAAAAATATCAACACATCTAAAACGACCATTAATAAACCGTCTGAAGTATTAATAGGAGGCAACTTGTTATAGAGAAGCCTCAAGAGAGGGATTGCCATGAAACAATCCTGGAACCTTCCTTTTTCATTAAATAGGATACAGGCCCAGAAGATTTGACACTGATACTCTGTACCTGTTAACCCATGCTTCACACAGAAACTTCACAGTTAGCCTCATGTGGGGACAGACTTTTCCAACTTTAATCTCCCTTCCTCACTTCAACAATCTTAAGGCACAAGTGTGCTGAAATGTGTTCAAGGTTTGTCACCAAATACAACAACCACAAAGCCCTTCCTTTTGTCTAACTTGAAGAGAACCAGTTAATGTATATGGAGGAGGCAAGAGTCTCTCAGTGAGGCAGTGGACTGAAGCACTTGGATTTTAAGTGCAGACAGGACCATTAGACCATTCAGTCCAACTTCCCTTCCAGATGATACTTTCATGTAAGACTGATTTACTGGCTCAAAGAAAACAAGTCACTGTAAGCGCCAGCAGTGGGGAATAGGAAGGTGTCTGTAAAAATGCCAAAATAATATATTGTTGTAACAACATGTAAGGACAACAATTAAGTTTTTAAAAACCATTTCTCCTTGTGGAAAAATGCCTTTTTCTCTCTGCAGTGATGCTCTTTATACAGGATAGCTGACTTTGAATTTGAACTCAAATCATGAAGAAGAATGAGATTCATGTTATAATAATTAATGTGTTTTCAACCCTTTTCACAAGTAACAACAAATACATTCACATTTTCAGAAAGTACTAGTAAAAAAACAGTAAATGCAAAAAAATTCTCACCTTCTAACAGCAACAGACTTGGAAGTACAATTACTGGTTATGATGGGTATTAACCGAGGGATGTGCGTGTGCTGGAACAGAACAAACAAAAACAGGAAGAAATCTTTACACAATAATTCCATAGAATGAAACACCATCTCCTTCAGCCACCTTGAGATCCTTACTGCTGCTCAATTCTTAAAAACAGAACTGCCATATAAAGGAACAGTTACAGATATGGACAGATTTTTAATATTAAAAATATTATTCCATTTCACAGCTAAAATACCTTTAACAGATACTTGATTTTCTTCTACAATGACACTCTAGTGAGTCAAGGAGCTGAAGTCACTGCGGGAGGATCTAAACTGCAAGTGGTGACAACCTGAGAGACATCAGGCTACCTACAGCTTAGCCAATGAATCACTAGGCAGAAGTCACCACTGTGAACTAATAGTTTTGAGAAATATGGACAGTTTTGTGAGGTATTTTAGAGCATAATTAAGAGGATGAGTCTGTGCTGCAAGGCTGGTCTAAAACCCTCTCAAAGAAAAATGTTTGCTCAGCTCTTAGAGGGATGGAAATATCTTGCCCTGCAAAAAGAAACATTTCCCCTACTATTTTGGCAGAGCTTAAACAAGCATCATCTGCACAAGGCTGCACAGCATGTGAGACAGCCAAGCCCAGCACTATCAGAAAAGTAGATTAGGCACCTAATCTTATTTTCATTGCAGCAGCATTCATACTTCATCAGAAACACTGCAGTGTTCAGAAATTGTAACACTATTCTTTTTTGATATATACTTACTCGAATGATTAATCTAACTGCTACAACACCAGAAGTGGCCATGACTTTGGCACTATTTGGAATTAAATTAAAAATTGTTGGCATGATGGCTTCTGCCCCATGGTCAAACTTGTTTCCCAGAACTGATGACAAATGTCTGAAAAACAGAATGAAGTAATGCTGGTAAGTGAGCTGAAGATAAAGCGAGTCAGACTTGTACAGAACATCTGACATAAGCACATCTGACATCTCAATCTTTGCAACTCCAGCTCCAAAGGAGATAACACCATGTTTCAAAAAACAGTTCCTTTCCTTTCATTTCAGACTTGTGTCCTATCTGAACCCTGAGAAATAGTAAAATCAGCATAAAATAAAGTAACTAGCATAGCTAAAAATTTATTATCAAACAAATGAGATCAAGGTGATATCATATTTTTTGCTACTTTATATTACAATTCCTCTGAAGCTCCCTATTTTGACTTAAATATGTATATATTTAAACAAAAACATGTCAGAAACGCTGCCAGCACCCTTTTTCTTGAAGTATTTCACAAAGCACAGACCATCAGAAATAAAAGCTAGCTCAATCCAAACCAGAACAAAACAAACATTTCCAGCTTTATTGTTCAGTGCTTCCCTGCTTGTGCATGAAGGCATGGCTTGCTCATTCATTCCGTGTACCCACATCAGCATTGTTTAGTACTCAGGAACACGGCTTGGCACAATTACAATTAGTGGCCTACAGGATGGGGTTTGAAACAGATGCAGAAAAATCATGTTCTACATTTAACTATATAGCACTGGCTGCACAAGCTGCATCCTAACTGTGTTTTAAGCAGTTCCTGTTCCTTTTCTTCTACTTCACATTTCAAACACAGAGAAAACAAACTTACCCCAATGTGATACAAGCCTCTCGTACGACTTGAGACCGCAGGTCTTTAGCAGATAATTTAAATGCTCCATCCAAAAGTCTTAGGTGTTGGAAGAAGTTATCATATTCTGCAGCTCCAGCCAAAAGTAAGGAGCGGATCTTTTTCAACTGTTAGGAGCATAAAAGAAATCAGTGACTGTTAATGAGCAGCAAGTGTAAGGAAAGTTCAGTTTTCAGGACCAATACACAGTTCCAGGTTTCTTGTGCAATTATTCATCAACATGCATTGAGGAAGCTGATTCTTGATGTCCAAGTGATTTTATTATTTCCTATTTTATATTCAACCCATGGTTAGTTAACATACTAAGTACAATAAGCTAAACACCCTTGCTAACTTATAGTAATCCAGAAGAGTTGCATACAGCTACTCAAATTGTATAGTTAATAATCCAAACAATATTTTTTAAACCAAAAGGTATCTTAAACATTCTCCTTTGTTCTCCTATTTACAGCAGCTTCTAATGTTTAGGTAATCTCACAGCTAACTCTTGTGTTAAAAAGATATCTAGACTTAAAGGGCATGGTTCACACTCAGGCCAGGGTCATACTGGCTTATATCCAAAATGTGTCCATTGACTTCATTAAAACAGTTATCTGGCTCTAACAGAAGTGAAAGCCTGACCTCATCAAAATGGGAAGTTTCCCATTAATATTACAGGGACCACCATCCCATCCTACAGACAATCCTCTGACACCTTCACAGACCCTCCTGTGCACCAATGCATCTGCACATGGCCTCGATTTCAGCTCCCTGTTACTCAGTACAGAAACAAAATCAAACAGAAGTAAGCTGAATCAGCCTAGTCTGCCACTCATCTGTAATACAGAGTTTGACAGATATGGCAAAGCTGCTACACCAGTGATGAAAGTCTAGTGTGTAGACAAGACCATACATCTATTTGTATCATGAAAACACAGCTCACCTCAGTAAATAATACTCGGTCTTGACATGCATATAACATCCAATTTTCCACTTCCACACTTCCCATGGTCATATTTATTCAAAACTTAAGTGTGTAAATTCTTGTTAAATTATTTTACACGTCCCTTTTGCAGAAGTATAAATAAGCTCTCTGTAAGCAAAGTCATATTCTGCCTTTTCAGGTAAGTTTTAAGATATTCTCAATAAGACTTGACATTTTGATTTTAGCACCTGCTAGCAAATTTCTAGTTTTGCACCTAGATTTGCTGCACAACTTCCAGTTCAACCTGATGCTGTCTCAACAGACTCTTATATATCAAATCGCAATTTCTTTCACAAATGTGGCTTAAATTCAGTCTCACCAGTAAATACTTCCCTCAAGTTCAGGGGAACATAACAGGTGCTCACCACTAGAACTACACTCCAGCCTTAGTCTGAGGTTCTCCCAGTACCCTCACTGGGATTAAGGACAGTGTAGAAAAAGCTTATATTAATAGAGATCCTATCTAAATTCACTACTTACCGCAGAAACTCTCTGTTCCCAGTCATGTTTATCATCTGATAGTATCTCTCTGATCTTGTTTATGGATTCCTCAAGATCCCGGCTGGAATAAATCTACAAATTGAAATACAGAGTAGTAAAGAAGGATTTATTCCATAAAATCAGATCACTTCCTAACTACATTCTTATGTCCTTTGTTCCTCAATGTTTTAACATCATGTGCTAGCCTTGGACACAACTGGCTTTGCATAATGCACAGAATTTACATCCACTGCTTGCAACCCAAAATTTAACAATTATCACAAGATGATTAAAGGATCCTATTTCATAATTTTACTATAGTTTCACAATTTTAAGCAGCATTCCAGCAGCTACCAGTAGCTATATTAGTCAGAACCTACAGAAGATTGTAAGTGGACATGTGCTGTTCAGCAAATATGAAGCTCTACTGAAGCAGAGGGGATACATGATGCATCTCAGCTATCCAGCTAAATCAGCAAACATGCATGGTGTCCAGTTGTCACACTTACAACAGCAGTGATCTCTGAAACACAAGTCACCTTTATTGCTTTCCATTCCCAGAGGGTTTCACATAAACTACTGGCACACCCCACCATTTAAAACTTGCCTCCCTTCAACTTCCAACCTGCTTCCCCCTAAAGATTTGCCAACAATTTGCCAATGATTAGCATTAGATCCTATATCCACCTTCTGCTTTTTAGTACAGCGTGCTTTAACAGCTAACATTACTCACCTGAACTGTTGGGACATCTTCAAATGCCTTAATGAAGTCTTCTTCATCCACAGCACCTGCTCCCTCTTTGGCTGCTGACACACAAATGAAAAAGCCTTTTCAATCTTGTTATCAGCATGAGAATCAATTAAGAAACCACCAGCTATCAAGGCACTTAATCAGGAGAAAGTTCACTACCCATGCAGTCTGGGAGTGCCGCAAATGCAATGAAAGCAGAGGCAGAGAAATTCAATGCCAGGCACTGGCGAGACGTTCATGGCATCCTTAACTCATAGGCACAGAGGGCAGATTAGGGAAGTCATTACAGTAGTCACTCAACAGTTAGGGGACACAGTCTGAAAGATGAAAGGGAATACTTATCTAATTATATGGGAGACTTTATTTTAAAGGATTTAATCCCATCTATAATAGATGAAGGTAGGGATCTGACAGGTGCACAAACAGACCAACAATAAGGAAGATAAATAGTCTCTGGAATACTAATCAGATTAGAGACTGCCTGATATAGGCAACTTTCTCCCTTTCCCTAGGACACATATGGAATTACAGCTACATGTATAATTATTGCTAACACTCAGAACGACTGCTCAGTTTTCTTTCTGCACCTTCATTATCAGCAATGCCCAAAGGTCTTAGAAGAAAGCCAGTGTGGTGTCAGTTTTAGACTGCAAGGGCTGAAGTTTGGCATCTAGGTATAAGCAGCCTCAATTCAGACGGAGTTGGGACAACAAAGGCAAAAACCTACACACTGGAGCACCAACATGATCTACTCACAGCCCTCAGTGCACAATTACACAGGTGCAATCTCTCACAAAATGCAAAACAAATTATGGGGATGTGGGGATTGCTTGGAGATTCATCCTACCAGACTTTGGTTGTGGCATGCAGAGCACACACACATAGTGACTGCATAGGGAAAAATTTATTACTGGATTCTGGGGGCTGGTCTGGAAGTGCTTGCAAGAATCTCAGTATGAACACTGTGAATACTTCACAGACACATCAATTCATACAGGCCATTGGCTTACTTGAAGACTTGGAGCCCAGAGCTGCAGAGCCAAGTCTGCGGGTAGTGCCCATCCCAACTCTGCGTGAGTTTGCAGGGGCTTTTGAAGATGTAGAGGAGCTGGCTGAGGAAGGTCTGTTCCCATCCACAGAGTCTTCATCATCAAAAATTTTATCTGCCAAAAAAGCACACTCAGCTGTAAGTTTAATGAAGCAAAGGGATGTCCCAAGGAACACACCCATGTTATGGGCAAACATTCTACATTTTCCAGCCTGCTCTGCCAGCCCTCATCTCAGTAGTGTCCTCATGCTAGAAATCCAGTTAGTTGTGAATACCACCAGCTCACTGAACCCAATCCTTCACTACTGCACCCACTGTTTTATAAACCCTTTCAATGAATGCATTCAGACGAAAAGAATGAACTTCAAATTTACAGCAGAAAGATGCAAGCCTCAGATAATACTTGGAGTGTTGACAGTCTGCATCTCTCACATTTATGCCTCCAAGAGCTCTTTTGACACCGACTGTAGTGGAACTAAGAAGATCCAAGTGTGGAGGGGACCAACAGCAGAGGCTGCCCTGTCCTGCCTGCCAACTGTCTGCACCAGACCAAGGATAAACAGCATCACCCAGGAAGGTTCACATGGCAACACCCATGTTGTTGATGAACCACAGACCATTAATCACAGACCCATCTGGAGCTACAAATCCCCTTTAACTCTTTAAATTAACACCAGAGACTCCTTACAAGGAAGTTTCCTCCTATTCACAAAAACACCAATATAAGGGGCATTACGTATTATAGAATCTTCTGTGTACATGCAACTTTAGCCTCTACCACCAAACGTGAACCTAAATTAACTAAAAATGAATTACAGCCACTTTAATTCTCAGTCAAGGTTACTTCAATTCCAAAGGACTGCTTATATTGCAGTTTTACACAGATTAGCTAATTCACTTGAAAAAACAGCCGTAGGTTGAAAGGTGACAAAACAGTTGAGCAGCTGATATAGATGGAACACGTAATTATTGAGGCCAGAAAGCCAGCTCAGCCCCCATCACTCAGCTTCTCCACACGAACACTTCGTTAAAGATTTGAGACCTGCTTCATGTCTGTCCCTCTCCAACAGCCCAAGGTACACAGCCACTCTCCACCAGATTAGGAACATTTCCTTCACCTGGCAAAAAGTCAAGAAGGTGCTTTAATCCATCCCTGCTCAGGAAAGCACCTGGGAACATCTAGTAACAAATACAGGCTCCAAGCTAGGCACTAATGAGTGAAATTCAAAACAGGGTGAGCTTTCTGAAAGTAAAAAAAAAATTGATAACAGTATAGGCATATTCTAGGGGAGGCAAGAGAACAGAAAGAAAAGCCTGTTTTGTTCTCAGCTCAACCACCTTCAGTTTTCTCTGCTCTAAGTGGCACTGGCTTATTAGCATTTGGACACAGAAGAACTATCACATGCCATCTAAAAACCTACACAACCCATGTTTGATATGCAACAGAGCACATGATGCCATACTCCAATCACAACTCAATATTGACATAGCAGGTACACAAAGCATCCAGAAATTTAAAAAAGGTGGGCAAGGACATTTCTGAATTTTGATGTTCAACATGTCTTAAAATATGGGAAAGAGCTAGGGAAAAAAAGCAACTCTAAAGGAAAGGGGTAAAATAATAGCTGGTACTTGTAGTATTGTTCAGGAAAAAGTGAACAAGGCAAAAGTGAACACAAGAACCTTAATTTGGATAAATTTCAGGTCACAGCTAAAGAGAATATAAGGCACAATTAGGATGTGGGCTGTCTCTTTAACACAGTGCCTGAGGGCAGCCATGGAGACCGTGCTATCTCCCTATTGACACCAGTCTTGCTCTGACATATGTAATTCAAAAATAATTTGAAAAGAGCTCAGGGAACAATCATGAGAATGATTAAAGGATTAGAAAATATGTTTTTAATTCAATTAAATTAAAATTCTCTGCAAGAGATTGTTTAGTCTAGCCAGACCCCTAGTAAGTTGCTTGATTATATTGTGTTAACACAGCTACTGAAGATTTATTAATACAGTTTTCCAATGTGATTTATTAGTATTGTTTCTCACCTAATAGAAAAATATACAACAAGGCAAGTGGCTGGAGGTTAAAAACAAATTAAATGCTAAGTTGCCTTTTTCCCCCTCTCTTCCTCCCTGCTCTCTCCCCTCCATTTTTTGTAATAATCACAGGGCTGACCTGTGAGGTTAGGAGGTGCATCACCCAGTGAATTCTACCATAGGCAGTTCTTTAAAAAGCAATTTTTTTTTCCAAAAGATACAGCCTAGTTCAAACACGAATTATTTGAAAAACACTATTTGGTGTGAGTTGCACCAAGGTCAGGGCAGATCAAAATAGGCTTTAAAATGTATCACCTCTGAAGCCTCTAGGACAAGGTTTAAGTAATTCAGAAAGAATTGCACAGCCATTCAATCCAAAAACTTCTAAGCAAAACTTGTCCCAGTTGTACTTATTTCAAAAGCTTCTATATAAATATCTAGCAAACTGTTAATTGACATATGTGTATTAACAACCAGGAGAAAGTAAGTCATATTCAAAACAAAAGGGACTGTCACTAGTTCATAGCCTCTTTCATCCAGTAATAAAATTCTCCACCAGCTGCATTTCAGGCTATCTAGATGCAGCCTTAGTTAACTCACTTCCTCTTCTATATGCATTTTTAAAGCCTCAGCCCTCTGAAGGGAGAAGAGGGTGTGGTTTGCTATTTCATATAATAAATTTTTAAAAAATCCAGATATTAAAAGCATTACACTCCTGTAGCATTTTAGCAACTAAATTGACTATCATAGCTTTTTAAAACAGGCTTTTCTGAGCCTTAAAAAAATACAACACTCCAAAAATCAAACCAGCCCACCCACAGTTCTGGGGATGACTGGATTACAATCGCATCTTCCTGTTCATTAAGTCTGCAAACTAAGCATCACATATTTATCAAACCAGAATATCCCTTCAATAACTCAACAGCATTTTCTCCTCTGAGCAGTGCAGAATGACAGCACCACATCCAGAACTGCAAATCAAGTCTGCCAGCAGCACGTGTGCTGAACAGAAAGAGAAACAAAGAACAGAAAGGAACCTGCACACGGGAGTACAGAAAAGAACAGAAAACCAAGCTACTATACATTATTGTTAAAAAACCATTTTTTTTTGCCACCTATTGATTCCTGCTCATAATAATAATTAGAACTGGGATCATATTTTTCAGCATATCTGCAAATGGCAAATTCAGCATGGGTGTAACTCTCAGGACACCAGCTGAGGTGCACTGAAGTGGAATCAGTGCCCCAATCTAACACTAAATAACCACTGACGTTCTCCCATCACAGGACACCCCCAGTGCTTATTTATAAGGACCTTACAGTACACTCTATCAAAGACATGCCCTTAGAAAAGAGGCCTTTGTCTGCTCGCCACTCTGCCGTCTCAGAGACAGAGAGAAAACAATCTGCTTTACATTTTTCAATTCCTTTACATTATTTAAGAAGAAGAGAAAATTGCTTACAAGTACATATCCTTCTGCAAATAAGCTTCCTCAACATTCCTTCATCTTTTCCATAGCGTGCCCAGATGTAAGAGTGCTTCACGGAGCGCCGCGGCTTTCAGTCCAGAACATAATCAATCCTTGCCCCTCCGCTCATTAAGCATGCTGTCTTCACACGTGGATTTAAACAGCCACGGCCTCTGTCCTCTCCCTACAGCTGCAGATCTGCACGATTCTTATCAACACCCATTTCAGCCCAGGAAACTTCGGTTCACTTCTAGGGAGGAAATTGCCTAGGAGCGAGGGGAACCCAGGACAAACACTCCGGGATGAAGATGAGCCGAGTCTGCCCAGCTCAGCTGGCTTGCACTAGGAACCAGCCTGACTTTATCCCCTGGGAAGCGCTAACAGGAGCATCTCAACAGCTGTCATCATTTGTCCATGACGAATAAATTTAGTCATTATTCATTTTAAAATGTAACCCCTTCAGGTCTGGGCAAGGTGAAAAGTGGTGAGAAGAGGCTGCACCAGCTATTCAGAAACCATGGTAAACAAGGGCCAGCGCTTCCCTTGCCTGCAGCACCAGCCTGGAACCTTTTAAAGCATAGTCTCAAATTTAAAAATATGCTTTCTGGCTTTTAAAAACTTTAGGATGTCCGATCCAAATATTTTAGTTATTTGTTTGCAAGCTTTAGAGAAGACAGCTACTCTCTAGTGATGACAGACTGGGAAGAGAGCTTTCCATCATATCTATTCCTAACAAAGATGCCCCACTATGGTCTTCAGATTTGACTTTGTAAAGGACTAAACTTGTCCTGGGTCCACTGCACCCACTCATCATCTGTTCCATTTCCAAGCATCAGGGCAGCTGAAACAGGCAGGATGGGTACCTCTTGCGTGAGTCACCTGCATCACTCTCAGAAGAACCCCCCCCCCTTTTGGATGCAGATGAAAGTGGATGACACCAGAGGAACCTGCCTCCTCACCATTCCTATGGCATGCTCCACCAGGAGCAGACAGAGAGCTGCTAAAGCTGACAAACATTACAGCACTTCCAAATTCCATGCTCACCCCCTACTAGGTGGGCAAAGCCCAGCTCCCTGAAGATCTGACAGCCCTTTACAAGCCAAGAACACAAACCAGCAGAACGACTGATGCCAAAGGAAACAGGGTGTGTTCCTCTCTATTCCTTTCTGCCAGGCACAAGTCCATGAGCACTGGACCATATTTTGGAGACAGACACCTCTTGGTTATCTCAACACATGCCCTCCCCCAAGGGCAGCATCTGGCACTCCCATCTCCAGCTGTGACTTCTGTTGTCACCCTCTGTTGGGTGTCCAAGGGAGACAGTTTCAGCTGAGGTTAGATGCCTCTTCCCATTAGCACACACAACTCATGCATGGCTTAGCTGCAAGCCTGTCCACCTCCAACACCGGTATTGTCAAGGTTTCTCCAGGAAAATGAGGTTATAAACGCATTAAAGATAAAGGAACATGTACACGCTCCTCAGCAGGATTAAGTGTTTAACAACAAAGGAGTCACAGCTACAAGGAGAAGTTCATGGGTACAGCACATCATTAAGGTTTCCTGCTTGGCCATCTCCCAGTGTCCCAGCTGCTCTCCCTGGCCTCAGACA